TAGTTGCTAGATAGCTGTTCTGTGACATGGTACAAAGAATACAAGGTATGATATTGCGCAGGTTGGTCGCTACGTCACAGGTGATAACTGGCGCTATTGGTCAGCACTCTCCGCGCGCCAGTTCAAATCGTCAAGATATTGTTATAAACCTGTTTTTTTGTTTATATACCGTCATTGAATTATCGCTAAGCAAGTTACTGTGGAGCAGTGCGTAAGGAGTCGGGATAGGAAGCGAGAGACTTGAGTTCGAATCTCGGCCGGGACTTAACTTTTTATTTATTTTTTAAATACTGTTGTATTCTATAGTTTATTTTTGTAGTATAAAAAAAAGAACTATTTATTCTGTAATTTTTTAATCTCCGGTATTAATATAAAATGATTGTTGGTACAACACTTCATTTAATATAAAATAATATTCTACTTTTTGAAATGTATCGGGCACTAATTGTACCTAAAAGTAATATATTTTTAGTGATATACCATATTGTAAACTATTTAATATTTCAGTCACTTAAAAAGTTAATTTGCATTGAATAATTGCCTACCATTAAAGGAAATTTGAGCTATATAATCCTTGATGGTCATATTCTGGGTATGCAAATACTTCCTCTAAATTTTGGGTTTCGTTCAACCGATTTATTCTCAAAACCTGAAACATCTACATATAAAAAGAAGCACAGGTCACTAATTATAATAGACTTCACCCTTGGAATTACTTCTATCACAATTACAATACATTCATCTGCATTGGCATTTTCTACTTTTCGATGGGAAACTTCAACTTCCCAACATTTTTTAAATGATGTAACAATTCCTCTTGTGGTTACTTTTCCATAGATATCCTCATCTCTGTCCTCATGTGAATTCAGAGGCAATGAACATGAAAATTATTTACCATAAACATCGCAAACTAAAAACCTAATAAACAATTTTATACCGAATATAGAAATAAATTTAGTATTCTTACCTATTATTATCGTCCAAATCCATGTTAATAGATAATTATTTTTAAATATATTTTTGGAACTGCTGGTTTTAGTAATTATTAAATTAAACGAACTAAAAAGTCTTAAAAATAAACAATTCTTAACCATAACCCCAAAAAATGCAGATCTCCTGTCAACTTTCTTTATTTTGTATTTATTCATTATTTTCCTAGTGACGTCACAGGTGGTATGCGCGAACTGAACGAAATTGGAGCCGCTATCGATCATACCTTGTATTCTTTGTACCATGGTTCTGTGATTTGTGCATTGAAGTTCTTCTCAATATCGTTAAACTTTTTAGCAATTATGGTGTACTCACTTACATAAAAAGTGGAAATAATCGAACTTTATTTTAAAAATAATGAATGTATCGGGTTGCGCAGATATTCAATGAAGGCCATCCTGACAAACACCTTTATGGCAAAATTGTTCGCTAGCTAGTAGCAAAATTTCGCGAAACTGGTTCCGTTATGAATAAAAAGAGACAGAGGGAAAATCCTGTAGTAAATGAAGCTATGGAGGTATTCATATTGGGTCAAGTTGTCATGTACGCTGAGTACAATTAGCTAATGAGACCGGCGTGAATCGTACAAGTGTCCAAAGGAAAAAAAAACACCCTTACAAAATTCAGTTGGTACAAGAACTCAACGAAGACGATTTTGATCGTTGTTTGCAATTTTGTGAAACTATGAATGAACGAGTGGCGAATGATAATAATTTCCTATTTAATGTGTGTTTTTCGGATGAGTGTACTTTCTTTTTGAACAGTGTAGTAATCGGCACAACTGTCGGTACTGGGCCGAGGACAACCCCAGGGTTTTTCACGAGGTGCACACACAAAACCCTCAGAAATTGAACGTGTGGGCTGGTATTTTTTGAAATTCTATTGTGGGTCAGTTTAACGATACTGAGAAGAACTTCAACGTACAAGTCACAGAACAGCTATCTAGCAATTACCGCACCTGATCTTCAACCTTCTGGCAAGGGAAAAATGCGTAAACATCTAGAAATAATAAGAAAAAACAGCAAATTGGTCGAAGGAATTTATCCTTATCATTTACTCTGATAAATAATAAATAAATAAATAAATAACGTCTTTATTTTTTACTCGGCGAAATTCAGCAGAGCTGTTAAGTTAACCGAGCATATAAAAAAAGTAAATAATATAATACATTCTTAAAAAATGACATTCAAAGAAAAAAGAATTAGTAAGAAAAATGAAAATTAACAATATACTTTAGATAAAGAAAAATCAACAACTTAATAAGTTAAAGCAAAAACAGTAAAAAATGAAAATTGTTCCGTAAAGGATACAAAAATTAATAAATCAAATTATTGTGTAATTCTATATCCGCTCAACATATAAGTTTTTAATTTTGTTTTGAAAGTGAACGTCTTTAAATCAAGGGAGTATAGATTCAAGTTGGAATTGTACATCTTGGTTGTCAGGTAGGAGAAAGAACGCTGATATAGAGCCGTGCGATGTTTGGGAATTTCCATATTATTACACCGCCTTATAGCATAGTTAGAGTATCGAAATTTAAGTTTATTAGTTAAATACTCAGGAAAACCATTCCGCAAAATTCTGTGTAAAAAACATGCAAAATGTAACTTTTGTCTGTCTTCAATATTTAGCCAATTCAACATATCTAGTTTATATGTAACATGGTCTCTCGATCTTAATCCGTATATTAAGCGAATACATCAATTCTGTACTTTCTGTAACTGTCTCTAGATTTTGATCGAGACAAGGCCCGTAAACAAAATTACAATAATTGGACTGTGATAATACAAGAGCCTCACATAATTGCTTTTTTAATTTATAGTTTAGAAAATCTTTGTTTTTGTATAGGTTTTTAAGGAGATGAACGATGCCCTGGCCACTTTACTCACTTGAGATCTAAACCTCAACTGCGAGTCAAATATAAGTCCTAAATATTTTGATTCCCTTTCTACGGAGATAATCGAATCAGACATTTTATTTTCATGTTCTGGGCCGCCCAGTTATTATTTGGTCCGAAGTAAACGATTACTGACTTTGTCGGATTTAGTTTTGAACCCGTTCTTGCTGGAATAAGTGTATATTTTTTCTAAACACTGTTCAACCTTGTTCTGGGCTTCGTATGCTTCTGATTTTCTAAAACTTAAATGTAATTGGGTATCGTCGGCATATCTATGCATTTTGCAGTGGTTATTGTCCACTGCCATGTCCATGGTGTATATAATAAAAAGTAACGGACCGAGAATGGATCCCTGAGGAATGCCCTTAGTAGTAAACTTTGCCTCCGATTGATTACCATGTTTAAATAAACTTTTTAAATTTCAATCCTTCATATTTTCTCAATGACTCGACCGATTTTCAAAAACGAAGCGGGAAAATATAGAGAATAGAAAGCTCTTTTCATTGCGGTGCCACTTGACCCCCCTACCCATTTGAAAAAAGTTGGGGGATAACAGCCCCGCTTAGAGAGTTGAAGATTTTGCAATCATTTTTGGGGCAAAAGTTGTCCCCCTCACAAACAAAATTGACGTGGTTTTGGATTTTTTGAAAAAAGGAATATTCTGGCCGTTATGCCTTGCGGAACGTTTTCGATGGGCCACCCTGTATACACGGTGGTCCTTAATTATATGCTTATATTTAAGAGATTGATTCTTGTGTACATATTCTAAGAAAAAACTTCCTATGAATGTATGTAAGTTTTGAAATACAAGGTGGTAAAGTTTTCTAAAAAAACTTTTTTTATAAGTCTGATGTTATTATACAGGGTGTTTCAAAAAACGTGTGCCTTCTCTCGTGGGGGGATTCCTCGCGTAAAAATAAGATTTATTTTTCATATTAAGTTAGGTCCGATTCTGCTTTGTTTCGTAGCTACAGGGTATTAAAGTTTTAATAATCTTTCGATTTATTATAATTTTCTGCCAAGTACTTTTAGTGATTCAAAAACAATTTTGTTGTATCTCTTAATTTGCTTCCAAAACCAATACGGGAACAGGGATCGGAGTGTTTGGGCCGAGAGCTAATTACTCCGAACCAATGGGCACTTACCCTAGTATCCTACAGGCAGAAATCTACGCTATCGAGAGATGCGTACAACTTATCTTAGATAGGAACTATCGGAAACAAGAAATAGCCATCTTATCTGATAGTCAAGCAGCGTTAAAGGCGATCAACTCAGTCTCAATCAATTCGAAATTGGTCAAAGAATACATAGAGAAGCTGAATAAATTAGGCAAAGAAAACAAAGTCCTCCTACACTGGGTGCCTGCTCACCAAGGGATAAAAGGCAATGAAAAAGCAAATAATCTAGGTAGAAAAGGAGCGAACACTCCACTAACTGGACCAGAACCGTTCTGCTTTCCAAGTGGTAACCAACTCAAGGAGGAACTCAAGAACTTGGAAGATTCCATCCGCAACCTGGAATGGAAATCTTGCAATGGTCTAGGACACTCGAAGAAGTTTCTGAGGGCTTATGATCAATAAAAATCACAGATCTTCCTAGGTCTGAGTAAGAACAATCTTCGGATTGTCACGGGGTTTTTAACAGGACACTGTCTCCTCAATGAACACCTCAGTAGATTGAAACTAAGAAGAAACGGCGAATGCAGATTCTGTGGGGAAGATGGGGAAACACCAGTATACCTCATCACTGAGTGCGCCGAGACGACAACCATTCGTGCCATGAATTTTGGTACGACTGATATTGGAGATGGAGAACTACTCTCTATAAAACCGTCCCAGATGCTGGCTTTTGTCAAAGCCCTGGGACTGTATGATGAGTTATGATTCAAGAAAGGGGGACACAATGGATCTGTAAGGTCGAAGTGATTAACCCCCCTCCCACTCATTCTAAATTCTAAAAAAAAAATCTCTTAATTTCCTTCAAGCCGATGCAGAAAAGATTTCGATACAACAGTCAACACACACAGTCAGTTCTTTTTGGCCATAGTTACATTTTCTTTATTTTTTAGATATACCTAGTACTATTTTTTAAAGGAGTTTCCGTTTTCCTACAGGTGCCTAGCGAGAGTTCTGGAGTTAGTGCGAGTACCAGCAGTCCAACTTCATCCTCGGAAGTCTCCAGGCCTGTTTCCATGACCAGTCTGGCCTCTTCTTCTTCGGAAAGCAGCGGGGGACATCCCCAACCCTGTTCAGCTTACCTGGCTTCGGTGGAAAGTCTGGACAGCGACCCTGAACCTGGAGGAAGTCAAGGTAATTGACATAAATTATAATTAAAAAAATCAAACAAACTTAGAGACATTCACTTGTGTCATTGACACTATCAACAAATTTAAAACATTGCTAAAAGTTTGTTATATCTAAAAGGAAGAACAATAAGTTCAGAATAAAGATTCCTAAAATGTTATTATTTGCTTCAAATCAAAATTAAATAATTTACACTTGTTTTTTTATTGTTTGATTTGATCACTTGATCATTTGATCAACTTTAGAATAATCAGATAAATATGTACAGGGTGGTCCGAACTGTATTCCGGAAACTTCAGCTGCAGATTCTGCAGATAAAAATAAGTAAAAAGTTCGTATAAATGTATGTCCTAAAATGGCTTAGTATCGCAGATACAGGGTGTAGAAGTTTCATTTTTATTTCCATTTTTTCCAAATAATTTATGAAATAACGTCAATATTTGGATGAAAATTGGTATCTGGGAGTTTTTTGATATAAGAAATTTGATTTTGATATCAATATGACTCCTACTTGTAGAGGGCGCCACCTACATATTTTTTAATTGGTTTTAAGAGTAATAACTTTTTGTCCTTACCTGTATAAAACTTTATGTAAAAAAGGTCTCTTGGTAAAAATCGTTACGAGTAAAGCTTGATTTACATGCGTCCGTTATCCGTTGATCCGATGGTCCGATATTAATTTTATTGGGTGACTTTAAAGACTTCAATTGGTTAGAAACGGTTAACCAATCGAAGTCTTTACATTCAACCAATAAAATTAATATCGTATCATCGTATCGTCGGACAACGGATGCATGAAAATCAAGCTTAATGGTTCTCGAGATATTTGGAATCGAAATTATCAATACCTGTCATCATTGACATAAATTAAACATATTGATAAATAGTTATTAGACACAGAAACTATCGGGGAATAGCCAGTAACCAAAATTTGACGACGTCGAGTAAACTATTTAATTTTTTTGATTACCCGATTAATAATAATAATAAATAACGCTTTATTGTAGAAAAATAAATATGCTTTCGTTATTTCAGGCTCCGCAGATAGTGGCATCGCCGAGCAGGAGCAAATTCCGATCAAGCCCGAGCAGAGGGTACTGCAGGAAGTGCTGGACACTGAAACGGTTTACGTTGCCGATCTCAATGAAGTCATAACGGTGAGTAACAAGTACCGCAAAAAATTAGTATTCTCTTATTAAGATGCCGCGTACAAAGTACGCGGCGTCGTACGGCTTAGGGAATTTCGCCTGCGTGGATACGAATAACAAGTCTTAAGGAGGTACAGGGTGTCCAATGGACAGGAAGTTTTATTGTGCGTGGAAGAGAACGATGGAAAGATCAGCACAAGGAAACTTGAGGATGAAATAGGAATAGATCACACTACAGCGTTTCGAATTTTGAAACGACATAAATACTATTCCTTCAAATATGAAAAGCGCCAAGAGCTACGAGATGGGGACGAAATACGGCGGCAGGCGTTTTGTTTTGATATGATGGAAAGAGCAAACACGGATGGGGAATTTTTAAAAAACATATGTTTCACTGACGAATGCACGTTTACCTTAAATAATGAACCCATTGTTCAAAATTATCGATATTTGAACAAAGAAAACCAACACAGGTTTGTCGAAACAAGGACGCAATATCCACAGAAAGTAAATGTTTGGGCAGGGATATTCGGAAACAATATTATCGGGCCATTATTTCTTACGCGAAATTTAAATGCAGAATATTATTTGGAACTACTCGAAAATCATATTTTACCTTCTTTGCATGATGCCGCTAGGGAAGATCAGGAAGTTTGGTACCAAATGGATGGCTGCCCGGCACGTAGTACCCTGGCTGTTCGGGAATATTTAGACAATAGTTCTAACGGAAACGTTATTGGCCTAAATCATACAGTAAATTGGCCAGCAAGGTCTTCTGATATTTCGCTAAATGATTTCTTTCTCTGGGGCCATTTAAAAAACAGGATATACAAGGATAAAAAATACCCAAATCTAGACGAGTTAAAAAATGCTATTTCTGCCGAATGCAATAGAATTTCAGTTTACCAACTAGCGAATGTAAGAAGAGAATTTTATGATCGCCTCGGTTATTGTCTAGCAGTCGATAGAGGAATATTTGAACATCTTCTTAAATCCTAAAGTTCTAACAATTTAATAATAACTAAATTAATAAGTTATTGAATATTGTAATAATACTATAATTAACCTTGTAATTGATTATTTTATTTTACTTTAATTCATATTAATTTGTATTTATAAATACATCTTTAAGATTTCCGACGTAGGAATGAGTTTTTAATAATAATAAAGCACTAAATAGGTAAAATTCTGAAATGACAACTTTAGTTGAAAGTTATCTTTTACCTTGACTGGTGCTCATAAGTAAATACAGGGCCATAAGAAAGGAGAAATATTTAAAAAGAAATCGGCGATAACTCGTAAACGAGCTAATCAAAAATATCTTAAAGTTATTCTTTTGAATGTGGGTTTTAGTGCTCTTCAATAAACCTAAATAGAATTATTCTCTAAAATAATTATTAAGGAAGTCAATAATTGACCCCATTAAAATTTTTACATAAAACTTTAAATGCCGAATGGACGAATAAATGCCGAATGTGAAATGGACACCACTCTTCTCTCTTACCATTTCTAATGTCCCCATGCTGTTCAGTGTCTTATATTGGACCCGAGGTATATAAATTATCTCTAACATTATTCAAAAGAAATCCATAAATATTGATATATTTAAAAGGGTTAGTAATGGCAAGTAAGGGTATTAAGGTTTTAAGGACAGAAGAAAATAATAGAAACGTATTTATTCCCTCTTAGGAATCGCATAACTCATGCCCGATATTACAGTCTTTTAAATAAAAATATATGTGACGTGACCACAATGTGAAGTCGACTGTTTACGACCCAAGTGAATGAAGAGATAACATCATTGGATGGCCTGTCTCGGTATTGTACGCGATAAATTTTAATTTATCGTTGTCTAGACTATCTTCTTTATTTCGATTTGGAATAGGAGAAAAATCAACTTGACAAACAATAAAACTTTTATGTAAATCAGTTGATTGTTCGAGTATTGTAGACCACACGCATTTTTTCCACAGAGCCCGATAAAATTAATAAATTTCTAGTTACACATTTAGATTGAACGGTACTGGTGATATACTAGTTTGCCCAACATATTTCTGATTCTAATCTTTACATGAAATTTTATAAATAACCGTCTTTTCCAGTGGAGATGTTTTATTATACCAGTTCTACTTTCATTGTTGCGAATCTTTGAATAAGAAGACTAAGGAAGGAGCATATCAAAAATCTTAGGTAGACTGCGATGGGCCTCAAATATGGCCGACTTAAATTCCGGTTTATCAGTGTCGTTCTAATTTTATTTAAAAAATGTAAAACTATGATGTAGGGTAAACGTGGGATAGACTCAATAAGTTGTTGTTTTATTTTACGTTTAGATACAATTTGGCTCCATAAAACACTAATATATCCCAAAACACCAGATCAAAATACTGTACTTTATTTATCATATTGATATATTTTAACTATTATATTTTTTAGTTGGTAAGTTTGAAAGTTTTTTAGTTTTAAGTTTGGGTATAGTCTGTCCAACGAGAAGATCCTTGACAGTGATAGATGAGTCTGTCATTTAAATTTCAAAGTAGTTTATTTTATTTTACAAAGAAATAAGTTGGTACAACTGGAAAGCATAGCAGGAAATTAATATGTGTATTTAAAATTTGACTGACAAGTAACTTCAAAATATTGTGAAAAAAACTGTATAAAACTGAAAACATGTAATCGAGTTATTTTATTTTATAAAAAACGGTATGTGTTAATATAAAACAAACAAAAACAAGACACCACATACCAAAAAATATAAAAAAAAACTATTTCTTACTTTCAAGCTTTATGAAACTTCCCGCATTTATGATTATATTTATCAATATAACTTATGTACAAATACAAATTTGTAATATTCCGCAGGAATAAATAAAACAACATAAATAAAACAAACTATTTTATTAATAATAACACTTACCAAATTTTATACCTCACAGGTTGATTAATTAACTTTAATCTTAATTTTTTTTAAACCAGTACCTTTTGACAGTATTTTTCTGCAGTACTAAAATCCATTATTTACCTATCGTGTGATGTCGATATTTTACAGCTACTCCAGTTTTTAGTATGTGTTTAGTATGGTCCTTCTACCATATTCGAGATGCACTTATCTACGACGAGATGGTATACTAGCTTTATTGGTGTATCTGTATAAGACTTTCTGCCTGGGCAGCGAGTATTATCCATAAACTGTGCTCTGGGTTCTACAGTTAATTTTCACTCGATTTTTCCTCCACTTGACTTCAAAAGACACAAAACACAAGAAATAACACGAATCTATGGAGGCTAGCACGAATCAAAATGCATCATCTTCCAAAACGCAGTGTATTTGACAAAAGTTGTCACAAAATTATAACCTATAATTTGGCAAGGCAAGACGTTGACAAACGTCAAAAATCTGAAGGCGAGTTCATACGCACCGGCGTCCGTTTGTTCATCGTTCCGTCAAACCAATAAAATTGAAATACGATCTGTCATTTTTTAAATAAACCAATAAAACTGGTTAAAAACAACAAGTGACGACGCATGACGAATTTATATTTAAACCCATCCATAGTTAACTTAAAAATTATTAGAAACTTTTTTTAGTAAAATAAATAGATTGGTATGGGACGTCATCTGCTTTTCTTCTGTCATCGTCTGTCGAAATCTTACCTGAGAAAAAAAAACAGAGTATACTGGACGTTTGTCCGTTCTGTAGCTACATGCTAGCTACGTGCTAGCCACATTACCTTCCTTGTATACTGAACGGCTCTAGCATGGCAAGCTCTACCTTGCTACTCCCAAGGCGTTAAACGCTATATACGGGAGCTATTATTATATTATAAGTTATATTAGAAACTTATAAAACTATCTAAAATATATTAATTTGTTATAGGGCTATCTAATTCCATGGCGTAACGACCCTTTGTGTCCACTGGCTCACTGTTTGACCGATCTCTTTAGTAACATAGAAGAAATTTGCAAGTTCAACAGGTGAGTAATATATTTTTTCTTTATGTAATTATGTTTCTTAAAAAAACGAGACCAAACATTCTCCATTCAATTAAAAGAAATCGCATAGTCATTATAATTTTTGTGGTGGCCTAGTTATGTAAAACTAGAGTAAATTCTAGAAAGAATTCGTACTTATACAGCATGACCAATTTAGTGTAACAGAATTTTGTAAAAAAGATGAGAATGGTTAATGAGATAAAATGTTCTTTACAGAGAAATATTAGAAGATATTCGTAGAGCAAATTTAGACCCCAGCAAAACGGCGAACGTCTTTCTGCAGCACGACGCAGGTTTCAGGGTATACAACGAGTACTGCGCGAACTACCCCCGTACCATGGAGGTACTCAGCGAGTTGCAGAAAGACGAACACATGGCACCACTGTTCAGGGAGAAGCAACAGCATTTGCGGCACGCTTTACCTCTTGGCAGTTATTTGTTGAAGCCTGTACAGAGGATTTTAAAGTACCACCTTCTTTTACAGGTATTATTTATTTTATAATAAAATTGTTTCCTAAAACACTTTACAGGGTGTCCCAGAAATAAGTGCAAACGACAAGATCCTTGACAGTAATAGATGTGTATATCATTTTAATTTCAAAGTAGTTTATTTTATTTTACAAAGAAATAAGTTGGTACAACTGGAACGCATAGCAGGAAATTAATATATTTAAAATTTGACTGATACGTGATTACTTCAAAATATTGTGAAAAAAAACTGTATAAAACTGAAAAAATTTAATTGAGTTATTTTATTAAAAAAACGGTATGTGTCAATGTCTACAGTTAATTTTCCCTCGATTTTTCCTCCACTTGACTTCAAAAAACACAAAACACACGTAATAACATGAACCAAAATGCATCATCTTCCAAAACGCAGATATTTGACATAAGTTGACACAATATTATAACCTATAATCTGGCAAGACTTTGACAAGCCTCAAAAATCTAAAGGCGAGTTCATACGCATCGGCGTCCGTTTGTCGTTCATCGTTCCGTCAAACCAATAAAATTGAAATATGATCTGTCATTTTTGAAATAAACCAATAAAACTGGTAGAGACGCCGCATGACGGATTTATATTTAAACCCATCCATAGTTAACTTAAAAAATATTAGAAACTTTTTTTAGAAAAATAAATAGATTTGGTATGAGATGTCATCTGATTTTCTTGTCATCGTCTGTCGAAATCTTACCTGAGAAAAACAGTGTATACCACCATACCACCCCATAAAATACTTGCACTTATTTCTGGGTACCCTGTATAGTAAATAACTTTTAATTTTTTTATACGATTTGTGTTTTCAGAGATTGTCGAAACAATGCGAAGGCAATCACAAATCAACGGTTGATTTAGCACTGGCCACAATGACCGCTGTTGCTTCTGAAATCAACAACATGAAAAAGAAGCATGAATACGCTGTCAGAGTTCAGGTAATGAGGCTGTTTTTTAACCATTTTTTTACTTTTAGTTATTTTTTATACGAGACGATAATGCAATTTTATCGTCGTGAATAAAACAATATTTTTTCTATAGCGAGTTACGTTTTAAAAAATATTCAGAAATTATTATTTTAAGGAATTTATTACGAGTAGAAAAAATATTGCGCTGGGTTTGCGTTGGTTTCTATGTAATTTGACAAATAAATAAAGCTGTCTCTTTAGTTGTCAGCAGGGGGGTGACAGTAAACCGGAAAATTGGAAACAGTTCTGGCGCGGTCCTACCCAGGCAGAAAGCATGGCCTTCTAGACTGTCCTAGACAAAAATCTGAATATTTCTATATGATTTCTGTCAATTTCTGTTACGGATCATTTTTATGCACGTCGGCGTCCTCTTCTTTTGTCTGTGTGTCAGCCAGAGAGAACACTAATAACTAAAGTGAGAGAGACCGATCAACGTTAATTTTTGAAGACTGTGTTAGTGGCGCGGCCTTTGGCGTCTAACCCGAACTATGAGCGCATTATCGATATAGTAGGTTGCATTCATACCTATATACTGGCGCCAAAAATTTAAAATTTGTGTATTAGGAACCGAATCTTAATCTTTCAAGTTTATAATAAGAAATCTTCGTAGATTTTTTAGATTATTTTGTTGTCAACGAAAATTTATTATTAGACTTTAAAGCATTAAAACCTATAAATAAAATACTGTGTAGGAACATAATAATTTATTTAACTTAGTTTGGTTTTCAGTTTTTGCAGAATTCATTTACCAGGTCTTTGATGGGTTGTGGATTGTCATGCCTTTTCTTGAACTAAAAATAAATAAGTTCAATTTTTCATTAAGGTTTAATTTTACATGCTTACCAGTTTAGGTAATCCGTTTCTGTACATGTCGTAGTGGAGCCCATACTCCTTGCCATAGTCCAACTCAAGGCTGCAATCTTCAATATCTTTTTTATCTAACTTGGTTCGGAGTAAACAGGGAAGCACGGTTGGGAGCTCGCACAGAGTATCAGTAGTTATTCAATGTTTTTGATAGTCTTTATTCTATACCAAGAACCTATCAGTTGAAAAAAATAATTTGTATTACTGATAATTGGTAGAAAAAAAACAGAGTATACAGTACGTTTGTCCGTTCTGTAGCTACGGGGTATCCGTGAGAGGGGAAACGATATTCTCTCGATGTTTTTCGTAAAAAATTAGACGACGCGTCCCATCAATAAAAAATCGAAAAATTTGCAAGTAGCCAATAAAATGAGTGGGCGGAGCGATTTGCGGTGACTTACTCGTCAAGTCGACGTATAAAATATATTGCTGTTTATTTTAAATGTTTTTTGTCCGCATTCCTTTCATAGACACAGATCCAGCAGACGTACTGTACCTAGGTCGACTCAGCCTTAAATTAGTACTTGGGATTCACAATCCTGAGGTAAATAATAGGCGGTACCGAACGGCTCTAGCATGGCAAGTGATGGCACCTTGCTACTCCCAAGGTGTTAAACGCTATATACGGGAGCTATTATTATATTATAAGTTATATTAGAAACTTATAAAACTATCTAAAATATATTAATTTGTTATAGGGCTATCTAATTCCATGGCGTAACGACCCTTTGTGTCCACTGGCTCACTGTTTGACCGATCTCTTTAGTAACATAGAAGAAATTTGCAAGTTCAACAGGTGAGTAATATATTTTCTCTTCATGCAATTATGTTTCTTAAAAAAACGAGACCAAACATTCTCCATTCAATTAAAAGAAATCGCATAGTCATTATAATTTTTGTGGTGGCCTAGTTATGTAAAACTAGAGTAAATTCTAGAAAGAATTCGTACTTATACAGCATGACCCATTTAGTGTAACAGAATTTTGTAAAAAAAGATGAGAATGGTTAATGAGATAAAATGTTCTTTACAGAGAAATATTAGAAGATATTCGTAGAGCAAATTTAGACCCCAGCAAAACGGCGAACGTCTTTCTGCAGCACGACGCAGGTTTCAGGGTATACAACGAGTACTGCGCGAACTACCCCCGTACCATGGAGGTACTCAGCGAGTTGCAGAAAGACGAACACATGGCACCACTGTTCAGGGAGAAGCAACAGCATTTGCGGCACGCTTTACCTCTTGGCAGTTATTTGTTGAAGCCTGTACAGAGGATTTTGAAGTACCACCTTCTTTTACAGGTACTTTTTTATATATAAGTTACAGATACAACGTTATCTTTAATTCGTTTTTTTAAGATAATGCCTGCGGGTAATTTTTCCTATCAAATATTTATAATTTTTGTGGATAAAACGTTGTATTACGTTCGTGTTGTAGTCGCAACTATTAATTTTAACAATTTCTGTTTTCAGAGATTGTCGAAACAATGCGAAGGCAATCACAAATCAACGGTTGATTTAGCACTGGCCACAATGACCGCTGTTGCTTCTGAAATCAACAATATGAAGAAGAAGCACGAATACGCTGTTAGGGTTCAGGTAATAAGCATACTTTTTACCCATTTTGGTACCTTAATATAGAGTAATTTGTTAGAAATAGAATGAAATTCTCTGTACAGGGTGATCCGAACTGTATTCCGAAAACTTCAACAGCACATTCTGCAGATTCATTTGCAGAATGCAGAATTGCAGAAGTTTCATTTTTAATTCGATTTTTTTTGTAAAATATTTGTAAAAATCTATGTAATTTACAGGAGATCCAATCTCAGCTCTATGGTTGGACAGGACCGGACTTAACAACCCTGGGAGAACTGATTGCGGAGGGTAGTTTTAGGGTGCAGGGTGCTAGGGGAAGAAGACATGTTTTTCTTTTTGAAAAAGTACTACTTCTGGCCAAAACCAAGACCGCCGGGGCCCTAGCTTACAAAACTCATATTGAGGTAAAGTATAAAATACTAAAAAGGCTAAAATACCAAACAAATTATAGATATAGACATATTTATGATAGCCGTTCATTTTTATCTGTTAATAATATGTGATCTTTTTCAGTGTTCTAATTTGATGCTAGTGGAACAGGTCAGATCAGATCCCCTAGCGTTTCAAGTTCTACCTTTTGACAACCCTAGACAGCAGTGCACACTAAGAGCCAGATCTACACATCACAAAAGAGAATGGACACTGCAAATAAAACGAGTTATCTTGGAAAATTACAGTGCTGTCATTCCGAATCACGCTAGGCAGTTAGTTATGCAACTGGGGCAAGACGTCACGGAGACTGGTAAGTGTAAAAAAGCATGTAGGGCTAATAAATCCTGGTGTAGATCTAAGATAATGTTAGAAAATTAAAATTGTATAATAAATACGATTGTGTTGCTTTATAGAAGATGCGTCTGAGAAATGGTCACCGTTGAAGCACAATTCACCTACGCCGCATTATTTGGAGAGAAGGTCCAGAAGAAAGACGCAGGAGCTGATGAAGGACCAAAGATCGGCTTCGCAGGACAGGATGTTTCCCGCTTTGGGTAGCTGGCGACGGAAATCTGAACCCAGCATGGTGAGTCTAATGTTTTTACTTTTTTGATTATTATTTTTACTTATTAACCGGTTGTGGCGTGTCCTAAAGGATGCATAACGCAATAATACTAAAAAAAATTCCAGATAATCTTAAAGATGTGAACACAATAAATCGCCATTTTGTAGACTCTATAGAGGCTCTGAAATGTGTAACTGATCCTGTTACTGTTAACTTTTACAATAATAACACATTAGCGCACGTGAAAACATTTCAGTTTAATAGCATTAATGAAGCAGATCTGCTTGATGCCCTTGCTAGTATTAAATCCAATGCAGCAGGCTGCGATGGTATATCTCTATTAATGGTTAAATTGTGCTGTCCTTATATTGCCCCCTACCTTGCTCATATTTACAATTGCTGTTTAAATAATAGCTATTTTCCGATTAGTTGGAGAAATGCAATGATCGTGCCCTTGCCAAAAATCTCCAATCCTACAAGTTTAAAAGACATTCGACCTATAAGTAAATTGCCAGTTTTATCAAAGATATTGGAAAAGTTGGTATATAGTCAAGTTTTAAATCATTTAACTAAACATAATTTGATCCCTGATTGCCAGTCAGGATTCAGGAGTAAATATGGTACTTCTGCCGTTTTAGCTACAGTTTTGGATGATATATTAACAGAATTAGATACAGGTAAGGGTGCAAGTCTGCTTCTATTAGATTATACTTGGGGCATGACCTTTTACCATTTACCACCTTGGGGCATGACCTTTTACTGGCAAAGCTTCATTATTACGGGTTTTCGGAAAATATTGTGGAATTGGTTGGCAGTTATTTGTCTAATAGATGCCAGTGTGTAGTTCTCGATGAGGCTCAGTCGGATGCTTTACCGCTTTCTAGGGGTGTACCTCAGGGTTCCATTTTGGGACCACTCTTGTTCCTTATTTACACCGCTGATTTGAAAAATAATGTTGTGGATTGCGAACTGCATCAATTTGCCGATGACACGCAAATATATGCAACTTACACTGCTGAAAATGCTGCAGTTGTTTACAATAATATTAATTCTGCTCTTGAGAAAATAAGTAAATACTCATTGAATCATGGTCTTCAGTTGGATCTTAGCAAAACTCAAATGATTTGTTTTGGTAGGGTACCCTTAGCAAAGGGATTATCTGTTAAACTGAATAACGAAATAATCCATCCATTAAAAACTGTCAAGAATTTGGGTTTTGCTCTAGATTGTGATTTGAGATTTCGAAATCATGTCAATTAGATTATGCAGAAAAGTTATACAGCATTGAGGGGATTGTATAGGAATAAAAATATCATGAGTCAAGCATTGAAACGTAGTCTATGTGACAGTTTGGTTCTTAGCCATGCCATCTATGCTGACAATGTCTATGGACCTTGTCTTGACGTGCACTCCTCTTCTAGAATACAGAAGATTCAAAATTCATGTGTACGTTTTATTTGTTCTCTGGATAGAGGGGAGCATATCTCACCTTGGCTTAAAGAATTGAAGTGGCTTAATATGTATGAACGCCGTAGACTGCATTTGGCTACCTTTGTACACAAACTAATTAAATTACAGACACCATTATATTTAAAATCTAAATTAAAACTGCGCCAAACTGTTCATAGCTGGAACTATTTAAATTTAGTTTTATATGTGCCTTTCTTACGTTCCATTTTAATTAAGTTTTTTTTTATAAAAACAAAAACAGCACTGAACCGTCTGACTGAACAGAACAATGAAGTGAAAATTTAAGATTTAAGGTTATGGTTCAATACAGTTGCAAAAAGGTAGTGGCTCGACGTCCTACCAACCTAAGAATAAAGCTTGTTTCATATAGACGCGAATCGCGAATTGCGATTTTGCGAAACTGCTCTCATTGGTCCAATTTTACTGATCATGGCGGCGCTGTCAGAAATTTTAAGATTTTGGCGATTCGCAAGATTTAAAATTTGGGGGGCAGGGAAAGTTAAAGTGTTTTCAACTTTGCGAATATTCGCGCGATTTTAAGGTTCGCGTTTGCGCAGAATGGTGTTGTTATCCGGTTATCGATTATTTTGACCGTTTGACGACGCTGTCGCAAAGTAACTTGAAAGCATTTCTCCAGCTTTAGTGTGTTCTGTGTTCTCCAGTTGAAATGGTTCTCGTCAACGTTATAAAACGTTTAAATTTATTTTAATATCTAAGGTACGGAGCTAACTATTTTTTGTAACTAATCCAACGTTGCGTTTAGTAAACACGTGGTCGCAAGTCGTGAAAATGCTACTTGAGTGAAACTCTGTGATGAGTTATAACTCAAGCAAAGGGTACACAATAAAAAACTTCCTGCTCCCATGCAATCTAGAAAATACATAAACACAATCTATTTTTCTTTGTTTCAGATTCCACAAGTGTACGATTCGAAAACCGTTCCGAAAAAAATCTCCAAACTGAAGAAAACCAAGGAAACTGGCAGCTCCACCTTCTACACGGATATCTCCGACGTAGACCAAAATTGCGATCCCCCCATCTCCGACACCGACACCGTCCACACGGAGGAAGGCTCCCCCCATTCCCGAGACACCGTCGATCATTCCCCCCACGCGTACGGCCACGACATCAAGCAAATCGTGTCGGAGTTTGCTGATGCAAAGCTGAAAGGATTTCAAAAGGTGCTGAACGGGACACACCAGGCATCCCAAGGAAAAGGAATATTAATAGCGAACCTGGACCGTTGTGGTACTACGAGGAGGTTGGGGTTGCCCAACAAGGCCGATTCGTTGCCTAGGTCGTTCCAGTTGAACAGGCCGACGGAGGAGGGGAGGAAAGAGGGAGGAATGAAGGAGGAAGGAGGGTTGGAGAGAGTAGTAAACTGAACGGGTGTCGGACAGAAGGGTAAGTGTCATTTAATGTAATTTTTTTTGATGATATTTTCAATATATTAGAGGTGGCTTTGGTGATTATGCTGAATTATATAGCACCGTTGATTGAAAAAAATAAGAAGCTACACGCAACCTTATGGGCAATTTCATTGGCACAAAACTTTTCGAGGATGTAGCTGGCGATGCATCGCCGCTAGTCAACTGTCCGAGATTTAGCTACAGCTGTAGAATAGTTAGAAGTTGCAGTAAGAATACTGTACCGTAGTTCTGCCTTCAGTCGACGAAGTGGTTGGTTGCCGGAACAGTGTTGCCAGAACTACGGATTAGTCCGTAGATTTCTTGAATTAAATTGTGACAAGCACCTTGTTGCTTACGAAATTTGAATATTTCACATGTCCCAAATGACCCATAAATGACCTATAGACCTGTGCTATAAACTATAAACCCGTTCTCTTCTACGTTTTAACAATAAGTAAATGGCAATTTGGCACCTTATTCTATTCCAATCCCACAATCGTAATCGATATTCCTAATTATTAAAAAAATTTAAACTCATATTGTATGCTATAAAATATAAAATAAAGATCGTAAACACGAATAAATATGTATAAAACAAATTAAGTTATCTCAGGTTAGGATTTTTTTGGTAACTTTCAGTGGAACAAAAATGAAATGTCCCTAAAAATTCGCGACTGTATGAAATAGGTCCAAATTTTGCGAATATTTTTTGGCGAATCGCTTTTCGCAATTCGCGATTCGCGTCTATATGAAACAAGCTTAAGAAAATCTAAACAACACAGTTGGAATTAGTAAAACAGACGACGTTTGCATAACGTTGGAATAGGTCCTGAAAGTGACGTCGGAAAACTCTTTATTGTCCAACATTGTAATTACGTTGTCCGAATCACCTAAAGATCACTTAAGCAAAAAAAGGTTACAAGACAACGTTTATTCGACGTCGCAGAAGCTTTTACTTTGCTGTAGTACTAGTTCAACGTCGACACAACGTTATAAAAACGTTTAAATTTATCTTAATATCTAAGGTACGGAGCTAACTATTTTTTGTAACTAATCCAACGTTGCGTTTAGTAAACACGTGGCCGCAAGTCGTGAAAATGCTACTTGAGTGAGACTCTATGATGAGTTATAACTCAAGCAAAGGGTACACAATAAAAAACTTCCTGCTCCCATGCAATCTAGAAAATACAAAAATACAATCTATTTTTCTTTGTTTCAGATTCCACAAGTGTACGATTCGAAAACCGTCCCGAAAAAAATCTCCAAACTGAAGAAAACCAAGGAAACTGGCAGCTCCACCTTCTACACGGACATCTCCGACGTAGACCAAAATGGCGATCCCCCCATCTCCGACACCGATACCGTCCACACGGAGGAGGATTCCCCCCATTCCCGAGACACCGTCGACCATTCCCCCCACACGTACGGCCACGACATCAAGCAAATCGTGTCGGATTTGCTGATGCAAAACGAGGATTTCAAAAAGGTGCTGAACAGGGAACACACCAGGCATCCCAGAAGGAATATTAATAGCGAACCTGGACCGTTGTGGTACTACGAGGAGAGGTTGGAGTTGCCCAACAAGGCCGATTCGTTGCCTAGGTCGTTCCAGTTGAACGAGCCGACGGAGGAGGGGGAGGAAAGAGGGAGGAATGAAGGAAGGAGGGTTGGAGAGAGTAGTAAACTGAACGGGTGTCGGACAGAAGGGTAAGTGTCATTTAATGTAATTTTTTTTTGATGATATTTTTCAATATAATGAGGTGGCTTTGGTGATTATGCTGAATTATATAGCACCGTTGATTGAAAAAATAAGAAGCTACGCAACCTTATGGGCAATTTCGTGGCACAAAACTTTTTCGAGATGTAGCTGGCGATGCCATCGCCGCTAGTCAACCTGTCCGAGATTTAGTTTAGCTGTAGAATAGTTAGAAGTTGCAGTAAGAATACTGTACCGTAGTTCTGCCTTCAGTCGACAGAGTGGTTGGTTGCCGGAGACAGTGTTGCCAGAACTACGGATTAGTCCGTAGATTTAGGGATTTTGGATACAGTACGTGAATAATACGGATTTTCTATCTCTCTATCATTAAACAATTTAATATAATATTATATGATTAAACAAAGAACGGCGTCAGAGTTGACTTAGAAATGAAGATCGTTGTTATTTCATATGTAAAATATTATGGTAAATGTCAATAATCGTCATTTCCAAGCCAACTAAATGACTTTTTTCGATCATACGAAATATTCAGTACCCATAAAAGAATTTTTAAACGGTTTTATTTAGCTCGACCCGTACGGTATTTATTTATTTGTTTGTTTATTTGGGTCAAAATTAGAAATTGAAATTTAAGTACCTTCCTGTTGTCAGATTGATCTGAAATTTGGTACACACCTTGACCTTTGGTACACACCTTGATGACAATACAATATAGTAATATCAATAACATTGTAAATCTAAGATGGCCGCCGGTACAAAATGGCGGATTTCATATTTTTCTACAACCCCCTCAATATGGGCATCAAATGAAAGGGCTACACTAGTAGAATACTGTGATTATGACAAAATTTAAAATCCAAGATGGACGTCGTTACAAAATGGCGTATTAGGTGAGGGCATGAGTAGTCGTGTCCAGAACAGTTGTGTCCAAGATTGTGTGACGTTAGAAGGACAGATAAAAAAAATAGGTGATTAGATGTATCTACGTAGTTAGCGGTAGCTTTACCACCCAAGTTAAGGTAATAGGTTAAAATGTGCTGAGGACTGTATGGCATTAGGGTGGCTAAAAATGTAATGTCGCAAGCGTTTCCCCTCAAGATTGGGCGCCTCTTGTTGTATATTATAGCTTTGCCCCTCTACTGGACCTCTGGGGTCGACCGTTAAAATGTCCATTACTCGTGGGAACAACATGGAAACAATAAATAAAAAAACAAACAAAAATAAAAACGAAACTGCTACACAACGAAAAAGAAGGCTCGAAAAGGCGAAAGAAAAGTATAGAACGAAACGTGCAAAAGAAAGTGAAAATGAAATCTATAGTCGACTACAGAAGCGAAGAGAACGGTTAGCAACAGAAACACCTGAGCAACATGATGCCAGGTTAATAGCACAACGTGAGAGACAAAGGCAGCTGGTAGAGTCACAAACACCTGAGCGTCATGAGTCCAGGCTAGCATCACAACGTGACAGACAGAGAGAGTTGTTAGCGGCAGAAACACCTGAGCGTCATGAGTCTAGGCTGGCATCATAACGAGAGAGACAAGGAGAGTTGTTAGCGCCAGAAACACCTGAGCGTCATGAGTCTAGGCTAGCATCAGAACGCGACAGACAGAGAGAGTTGTTAGCGTCAGAAACACCTGAGCGTCAGATTGTAATAAACTATCAGGTAAAAAACCATGTAATAATGATGCACTAAATTAATTAAATAGAATGAGGAATATTCGGTAGGCATTTCCGTTAAATACTAAAAACTAGAAAATAAAAAATCGGTAAAAAAACATTTAAGTTAAACGGTTTTATCTTATGTGCACTGAAAACTAGAAAATAATAATAACAATTAGGTATTTTGAACTTCTAGTTCAGAAATATTTTAGTACTAGGCAGAATAGCTTTTAGGCATATTAGACTAAAATAAAAACGTGGGGCCCCTCTGAAATCCTACCTGTGGCAAAGCATATCTTTATACTTTGGTAGATCATGAGCTCGGCGTTCGCTGGTGAAGCCGCCACGGCTGGTTATTGATTGTCAAAATCTCCAGTTACGATTATAGTAAGTCGATGCAATCCACACTTAGTATAGAAGAAAGTATTACAGCAGTAGTTAATGGGCCCCACCTTTATGGTGAAATTGTTCGCCAGTTAGTAGCAAAATTTCGCGAAGCTGGTTCCGTTATGAATAAAAAGAGGCAGAGGGAAAATCCTGTAGTAAATGAAGCTATGGAGGTATTCGTATTGGGCCAAGTTGCCATGGACAGTATTCTGAGTACAAGAAAATTAGCCAATGAGACCGGCGGGAATCGTACAAGTTTCCAAAGTATATTAAAAAAACACAAGTTCCACCCGTACAAAATTCAGTTGGTACAAGAACTCAACGAAGACGATTTTGATCGTTGTTTGCAATTTTGTGAAACTATGAGTGAACGAGTGGCGAATGATAATAATTTCCTATTTAATGTGTGTTTTTCGGATAAGTGTACTTTCTTTTTGAACGGTGTAGTTAATCGGCACAACTGTCGGTACTGGGCTGAGGACAACCCCAGGGTTTTTCACGAGGTGCACACACAAAACCCTCAGAAATTGAACGTGTGGGCTGGTATTTTTGGAAATTCTATTGTGGGTCAGTTTAACGATATTGAGAAGAACTTCAACTACTACAAGTCACAGAACAGCTATCTAGCAACTACCGCACCTGATCGTTCAATGTTGTGGCAAGTGAAAAAATGCGTAAACATCTACGAAAAAACAGCAAATTGGTCGAATTTATCATTAATATTCATTTACTCTGATAAATGCTTAAATAAACTTTTCAAATTTCAATCCTTCATAGTTTCTCAATGACTCGACCGATTTTCAAAAACGAAGCGGGGAAATATAGAGAATAGAAAGTTCTTTTCATTGCGGCGCCACTTGACCCCCCTTTCCATTTGAAAAAAGTTGGGGGATGACACCCCCGCTTAGAGGGTTGAATATTTTATTATCATTTTTGGGGCAAAAGTTGTTCCCCTCACAAACAAAATTGACGTGTTTTTGGATTTTTTGAAAAAATAAATACCCTGGCCGTTATGCCTTGCGGAACGTTTTCCAGGGGCCACCCTGTATATGGTTCTGATCGAAAAATAATGTTTTAGGAAAAGTTACTCACGAAATTATTGCACAGGGTGTTTTAAAGTTAGGGTAAAAAACAACCCTTTGTATAAAAAGCCAAATACTGAAATTCATAAGAAAACTGACAGTTTGCTAAAAAAATCATGAAAATAGATCTAAAAATATAAAAAATATAATACTTTATATTTGACAACAAATATTTTTGCATCTGCGTGTAGGTACTAAAAATATATTCAGTTTATAGATAATATCGAGCAACTTTGTTGTTTTAGATCCGTTTGTCAGATAATACTAAGTGTTTAATTTGTTTTCTCCTCTTTTCAGAGAATTATCGTCTCAAATGACCGACTCCTCCGACTACCCCGAGCACAAAATCTACCGAAAATCCGCCATCCGCACCAGCCTACTTCAACGCATCCGCACCCTGATCTCCGAGGACCAGAAACGCCCAGCTAGGCATGTTGCGCACGACACCAACAAAGCCACCGGTGAAAAACTGGCCAATCCCGACTACGTCGACCCCCAAAAACTTTTTATCGCCTCCAGAACGAACAGCGAGCTCAACATCTCCTCTGAATCTAGTCATACCGCAGAAAAAAACCGCCTGTATCGAACGTCACCCTCTGACAGTTACTATGAATCGATCTTGGACAATTCTCTGACGGAGGAATACGTTAGGGACAAGACTACAGGGAAAATGGTGGTGAAATCGGATAGTTTTAACAGTTCAGAACGCGTGAGTTTCGCGAGGCCTGGAAGGGTTCCTCCTCCAATACCTGCGAAGCCTTTGAGGTTAACAATGTCGAAACCGAGGACCAGTAGCAATCAAATTACGTCACAAAGTAGTATTTTAAATGATAATGATAAGGGTAATAGTAGAGAAAAAAGCCTGAAAGTGCCGCAGAAGACTGTGAATGGAGGCAGCTCAACTAGTTGGGTGAAGTCTATGGTGGATAGGTTTGAATGACATGAAATTTTTTGACCACAGAATTGAGAAGGTTATAGTGGATATGTTTGTTTAATTATTCTGCGTTATGACCCTAGATCATATTATATACTTACGTGGATAAGTAAATAACTTCGGAAACTGTCGCAAACATATCAACGATTTCCATTTATCTTCTTTTTTTGTTGCACACGCAGTGCTTCTCTCTGTCTATCCTTGTCGAGGACCTATATCGTCCACGCGCCAAATTTGAACATATAATATTCAAGTAATGTCGCATATATACATTGAATATAAAATTTTATAAATTTAATTTGTAAAATGCATATATATTTGAATAATAAATTGTATGTCTGTCACAAAAATTAAATTAAGTAGGTATATAAAAAAAACATTTAGCCACTCCGTACCAATAGCAATATTCTTAGGAAATCTAACTAGAAAGTATGCATGTGGTTTAATATAAGGAGAAGAACAACTGAATATGAAAAGGTAATTCGGGGACCTTTTTTAAAACTTCAACACACCAAACACTTTCTAGTCATTTTTACGAGTATTTAGAAAGTCCAACGGAAAAAAAAGAAATATAATTTCAAAAACTTAAAATTAACTTTTCACTGAACACACTTTTGCATCCTTGGCTATATAAAAGTAGCCGATAAAAGAGTAATTAATACAATTTTTATAATAAAAAACACAAAAAACAAACGTCGTTACACAATGAAAATAAGATTGACAAGATTATGACAATATAATGACAATAAAAAGTTTGTTTCCATAACAATGTATAATTTGTACCATAGATATAAAAGAAAATAATCTACTATTAAGATAGATATGAAACTTATTAGTAAAATTTTGGGTCAAAGCGCCCCTCCGTGTTTTTAATAGCGACTATGTTTAACCCAGCGCCTTCGCCTTTTCTACTGTAAATGTTTTTTATGCTTATATTTGTATTCAAAGGATTTATTTTTAAAATTACGCTGATATATTAGTATATCAGAGTAACTTTAATAAAACACAAGAATATATATATTTTACAGTTTATTTTTTATTTATTTTACAGAGTTTCTTGTAAATGATCGTAAGTCGACTGGCTGTCTAATGAATAGACCGAGGTTTATAGATTTTAAAGCGAACGAAAAAAAAATCAAACAACGAATACATACCATATATTTTCTTTTATCTAAGATACATACCTTATCGTCTTTTGGAAACACGTACATTTTTGCAGTTTTGTTAGTTTCTTTGCAAGATGCAACACAACAAGAAAACAACATTTTTACAGTTAATAAATAATAAAACTATTTCTGACTATGATATTTAAAATTTAGATAGATAGAAAATTAAAAAACAAACCGATATTTGCAGACGCAGGCCCAAATTCAATAAAAATCAAAATTTTTCCTGCGAAAATCGGGCTTATTTCACTGAAAAGGTATTTTTTGGTATTTTTTGATTTATCAGCAATCATTGTCAAGTTGACAATATACAGGGTATTTTCTAATTAGTCTAAAAAAATTGTGGTGTGATTCCTCATGTGTTCTTAAAACAATTTTTATATAACCATTAGGTCTAAAGTACTTCCTTTCTGATCTACAGGGTGTTAAAAATTTTAAAAAAATCGATTTTTTTGCACATTTTTTTGCAAACATAAATGGTACACCACTGCTTTTTTAAAGAAAATATATTTTTTCTTGACTGGCCATTCTTTTTCAACAAAATTGATCTTTTTAGTTTTTCTTGTTCATCAAACGGTTGTCGAGAAAAAAATAAATATACTTATTAAGAGCCCGCCTTAATCCATTTTCTAACGATTTTTTATTTCTTACATTAATTAGGAAACACCCTGTATATGCATATCACAGGCAACCAAATAAACTAGTAACTAACTCTAAAAATTATTTTTCCTACCACTAGCAACATACCGTGTTTTTAGTATGTACTAAATTATTTTATCAATTGTGATTATTTTGGAAACACATGCAACTTTTAATGCGCATGCGCGAAATAAGGTCTTCGGAAAACGCAAACCTATTGAACGTTTTAAAAGTGCAATAAAGAAGGTTTGAAAATGGCATGTCGTGATGTTGGGGACATATTTTTTATTGCTAAACTTATGGCGTTGATTTATCCACGTAAGTATATATGATCTAGGGTTGTGACTAAAAAATACGTGCAACTAGAAGCGTAATGATTTGGCGATTACAGTTGAGGGTTTGAACCTTTGGTGTTACAACAGCAAAATAAAACACTAATTCGCCGCAATACACCAAAACACTTTTCTTTTGCACTGGTCGCGCGTTTCGATAACCATGTTATTAGCATCAGTGACAGAATGATTAAAATTAAACTAATATCTACAAATTGGGCGTTTATACAGGGTGTCCCGGAAATAAGTGCAGATATGGTAGTATATTTCGTTTCCAGAAGCACGCCTATGGAAAATTTTAAAAAACTTTTTAGTGCCACTTGTTTATTCACCTGATATTTCTCTAAACCTTGCAGTGTTGCCACCTCGTACGTTATCCATATTCAACACACATTATTTTGTATTCACTGTAATTTTAAATTTGTACACAAAAAATTACGAGTATTAATTCTAATCGTATCAGTGTCTATTACTAACAATTCTAGAAACAAACCACATTAATTATTTTTACGCATACCAAATTTATATATTTATTTTTAACTACCTACATAAACTTAAAAAAATAACTCTTAACATTGCAATATTACGAAGTAGTTTTAATAAAAAAAAACGTTCTTTTTTGTATTTTGCTTGTACTTACCCTTTCAATGAGAACCAAACTGGATAAAATTATTCTTATGAGGTTTACGAAAATCATGATGGTTATACCACAAAATAACTTTATTTAGAACTAAATTTAATAAAATAATTTACCATATTATTCATCCTGAGATCGCATAAAAGAAAATACCAACATGTTTATCGGAATTCACTATTCGGAACATCGAGAAAATCAGACAAATAAACCGTATATCACACACACAACAACTCATTCCAGAGATTTCACTAATTATAGTACATACTTCTTTTGACTATCTGGCAACACAGTGCGTCTAATAAGTTAAAAAAACCTCGTGAAAAATCCTTAATAGCCGGTTATCGCCAGAGGTTCTGAAAATGTTGCCATTATTTTTTTTAATTTTTGAAGTTAAATAACTCGGTTATTTTCAATTTGTTTTAAAAATGGTAAAGAAAAAAGATGTTTCTGTTGGGACACCCTGTATATGCGCTCAGTTGGCACCGAGTAGACGTGGCAAAACGAGTCGAGCGAATCAAAACCTACTGAGCGTAATAATTAATCACAGAAACTAGAGCAATAGGAACAGAGAACTTGAAGGAACTGGACCATTGTTCATACTATCTTTACATTTATTAACTTGAAGAAATTAGAGGGGTCTAAATTAATTTAGTAAATGTGAAGATGTAGTATGAACAGAGACAATGGTCCTATTCCTTCAAGTTCTCTGTTCCTATAATTGTTACGCTCGGTTGGTTTTGACCCGCTTGGCTATAGTTTCGTCACGCCTATTCCTATTCGGTTCCAACTGAGCGCCTATATAAACGCTCAATTTGTAGATATTAGTTTAGTTTTAATCATCTGCTGATGATGCTAACATGGTTTGCGAGACTTCTTTTAGCGAGAACAAACTTTTTTGGTGTATTAGCGTTTTATTTTGCCAATAATTTGGCGGTTAATCATAAAAAATTTGATGTAAATCATTCAATTTTAAAAACAATTTATTCAAAGCAATGAAATTCGCATTAAAAAAACACAGAATGGTTGAAACCAACCAACAATTTTTTTTTTAATTAAATTCACTAGAATAAATTATTATACATAATATATATCCCCTTTAATCTTCTAAGTAATTATTCTGTGACTTCTAAGACAATAAATTATAGACTCTAGATCACCCATGTTACAGAGAATATTTTCGAATGTTATATCAAAACAGAATATACAGCGTGTACAAATATTTGGACTCATCTAGAGGATTTTTTTTTAAGTTTCTCATTTGGGTGTTCAGAATTTTTAGACAAACTTTTTTTTTGAACACGTAACTTTTTTGTTTAGTGTGTATATGAAAAAGTCAACAAATATCCATACAGGGTGTTTGAGAAAAGTACGGTTGAATTGTAGAGGCTGGTTCCTCGTCCAAAACTTTGAAAAAAAAGGTCTCTGAACTTTTGCTGTGCGTTTCTGTGCAAACACCCTGTATAGTTTGTACTGTAAGTGCTATATACAAGTGGCTGTTATATTTCTAAATGTAAATAACAGTATAGAGATGTTTTAATCTTGGTGTTAATATTGAGAGCATTTTCTTCTAAATAAGTTATAATAATGTTAAAGAAAAACTAAATAACTTTATATAGATTAAAAATAATATATGGTTATTGAATTTTAATCAAAGAAGTTTTATATAATGTGCCAAAATCAAAAAACTGTTACAAATAGGTATAGTTTAAATAATAAATTATTGCAGTTTGTAAGTATGTACTAATTATATTTTACAAAAAATTAATAAATAAATAAAAATTTTAAAAAGTATTTTTAGTATTTTTTTGTATTTTTATTTATAGTCTACCCATATATTATACTGTACCCCCACCATACAGCGGCGTATGTGGCTTCAATATACAAGGGGATGTAATAAGTAACTGCAATTAACCTTTTACCAACACAATAAAGTTCAAAAGTCAATTTCCATTTAGACATCTTGGGTTTCTCTACCGTTATTGACCGAACAAAACCCATGTGTATACACACTTTTTTATTAGATATACATTGTTTTCTTAATAATAAAATGTTTACTTAAATATGAGAACTATATTGAATGGTTTTATTTGATTCTATTTCATGGGAATAAAGAAAACATTTATACAGGGTGAGGCTGTGAAAACGTAGTGTATAAAACCATCAGTATGTGATACCCAATGAGCGGATTTGGTTTGGTTGGTCGATATATAATAATGTTACGTTTTTCGTCGGTTCCGTGTGGATAGAAAGACACAATTTATTTAAACACAATTTATTTACACTAAGTAACAAACGATAACGATTAAAAAACTTAAAGATCTATTTACACACTATTTATAACTATTTGTCTAGAAAGAATTTATTTTGAATTTAGCGCGGCCCAGCTGTACTCGTCTATTTATTTCTGTCTTCCTCAGGCTCCAGCCGTCGGATTTTATACCCACAGCTAAAGAGTTCTCGAATGATCCATAGATCATTAGGTGCATAGAGAAGGTTTCGAATGTTCTCGTATAAGTCTCGTATGTACTACTTCATTACAGTGGAACTCGATTGTTCTCGAACGTTCGAATGAATCATTATGGTGTCTATTTTTTAATGCGATATTAAGCTCATATTGGGGCGGGACATTTTAGTAGGTTATGCCGAGTCCACACGGGTCCGCAACAATAATATAAATAAGATAAAATAAAGTAGTAATATAATCAGCTTAGTAGTAATATAATAATATTAGTAGTAATATAATAAGATAAAATAATAAATATTTATTAAACTTGTATATACCTATACAATATAGTTTAATATAAGTATTGAACATTAAAATAAAAGTAAACTTATATACATTTAAATAAAGTCTATAAACTAATGTCGATTTTGAAAATAGCTACTAACTGTCACTAGCAAATTGCCATGGCGACACCAGCTATCTTGATTGCCATTTTATTGAAAAATCCCTTTTTATTTAAAATCTGCGCCAGGTAGGTATAGGAAACCCTAATATAGTTTGAAAGAGTATTTGAATCTGGTTCGATTTATTTAAAAAAATACATAGTGTTGTATTTGAAATAACGAAGTTCTTATGTAAAATAAATATTTAAAATATAGAAAACCGTAATATACACACACCGGAAAAGTCTAGGGATATTACAATTTTATCCAGCCATCGTCAGTAATTTTATTATTTGCATTTCTAATATAATAAAATTAAAATAAACAAATAGTTTACAGGACGTATTGGAAATGAAAATGCGAAATTTACCGAATTTTTCAAATTTACCTTGATTTTTATCGAACTCAAAAAATACACACATTTTTTTATTCGCTATTGAATCGAAAGAAAAAGATAAAACCATTTTTACTTAATAAAGAGTATGGCCTCCTCTACTGTTCGTTACAGCCCCACCATCGTCTCTCCATGCTCCTGATCAGGTTGTCGATCTCTTCTTGAGGTACAGCCTGCCACGCTGCATTCGGCCCAGACAGATCCCTACAGCGAGTTTCACGAGGCCCATTCTCAAAATTCTTCTTTGGACCGGAGTCCCATACGTGCTCGATGGGGGTTGAGGTCAGGAAGTGTGCCGGTCAGGGTAAGATGTTTAATTGATGAGCATTGATAAACTCACTTACCACTCTGGCTGTATGAGGCCATGCATTGTCATGCATGAGAATGAGATTCCTCCGAAAATCATTAACACGACAGGCTCAAAAAATTAAATCACGATATGTGATTCCTGTTAGAAACCTTTCAAGAAAGAAAAAGCAAAGATCGGTTTTCGGCCTAACTGAACTCCTCCCAGACCATAACTGTTCCACCTTGATAAGGGGTGCACTTCCTGAACATGATCCAACCGAATAAGATTTCCCAATTCCAAAGCGTGACTCATCCGTGAAGAGAACATTGGCCCATTCTTCATTCGACCACTGAACATATGATCTTGAGCCCACAAATATCGTACCTCGATTTCCCTCGTTAAGGGTTGAGCTCTCCAGGGGCGGCTGCTAAGTTGACCGCTCTTAATCTATTGCGTACAGTGTCCAGGACTAACAGTAGTTTACATTATGTGTTTCCTGGAGAATTAAAACTAAGCTCTGGTGCTGTAAAGTCGGTCGGCGTCGAGCATTTAATTGTAAAATGATTTTTGCTGAGGGGTAATGCGATGTCGCCCTGTGTGCCTTTCAGCACTCACCACTTTCACGGTAGCGTACCTTAATCGCGATATTACACTTTGCGTTGCATTTAATGCTCTAGCTACGTCGATTTGGCGCATTATCAGCTTCGAACATACCCCTTGGCCCTTAGCATTTCGTCTCTGTTAAGATGTCTACGCTCCATAATGTCGTTTAATACTAAACAGAGTTATTTGAATAATTCATGGCCAGTTATCATAAAACACTTAACAGTACAGGTTAAATTCGAACAATTGCTAGGTGCTTTTTATACATTGACAAAAATGCACAAACACTTCTGCAAAAATTCCAAATTTAGAAATAACTAGTGTGACTATTTCGTTTCAATCGAAGTAGAAAGAATCGGCCTACAAATATGTGGTTGTTTATTCAAAACATTTATTTTTAACTTTAATAAAATGATATCCCTAGATTTTTCCGGTGTGTGTATATAGTTTCAAAGAGTATTTGACTCTGCTTCGATTTATTTAAAAAATACATAGTGTTGTATTCGAAATAACGAAGTTCTTATGTAAAATAAATATTTAATATAGACCAGCAATTTTTGATACCCCTGTATACATTTAAGGAACCCATAACATTTTTAGTAAAGTTTATTTTTCTGACTTCAAAGTCAGCACAAGAATTAACTCTGAAAAGTAATGTACAGGGTGTTGACAAACTTTTTTATTATAGCATGCAAATCTAAATATCTTTAAATATCTCAAAAACCAAAGCATTTAAACATATTAAACCCTTATAATAAATGCCTTATTTTACGCTCAAGAATCCAAAAATGAAATAAAATATCGGGTGTTCCATAAGAAAAAATAAAACTTTGGTATGGATCTTAGTTCTGATACGCCCTGTACATTTGAAAATAATTTTAAATTATGCACATTGCCTCTCTACATATACCCATAAAAATGTTGTTTGTACATCTTTTCGTTTTCGAATAATCAATCGAGGCGAATGAGGTGCGCCACCCTGTATAAACAAAAGTATAGAGAACAATCGATTGGTCTCAATCATTCCATTAATTTTATTGTGGGAGCTTAAAAGTAAATGCATAATATTCGATAACAAATTACATTGCACCCATAAAGTAAATGTTTTATTAGTTAAGTATGCCTGTTCAGATAGTAAAAAAGTTATAAATCATGCGAAATATTCAGCTACTAAATGCTGGTTAACTTTCCAAATAGATAATTTTTATCGTCACATAAAGTGACCTTAATATTCGGAAATACATGAATTATAAAGTACCAATTCACTTTTGGAATGTTAAATAAATATAAATTTGAATAAATATTTAAGTTTATATTAAGTTTGTATAATGAAAAATTATATTAAGTTTGTATAATGAAATATCTCAATTATAATATATAATATTATATAATTATTATTATATATTATTATCTTAATTATTATTATATATTATTATTCAATTATAATTTCGATAATTTTTTGTTGTATCAGCACTCTTATCACTCGTTCTTTAAGTTCATTCTTCCGTCTTATCAAATATTTATGTAAATAAATAATTTACCAATCATTTTTCCTAAAATCCTAATCGTATTTACATTCTTTTTACATTACAAAATCATTATGATTTCCTAACAATCGAATTCGATATTTTCGACCATCCCTACTTTTGAACCTAGTCAAAACGCAGTGTTGCCAGATTGAAAGAATTTTCTTCAATATGAAGGATTTTATAGTCAAATTTTGTCCAAAAGGAAACAACAGAAGGTTTCTGGCAGTTTTGCACAATAGAAATTGTTAAAATATGTAGTAGGAGTATTTATTTTTTTTCCTTCATAAATTTTTTTATTTTAACGGTGTTTAAAAGGATGCCTCAGTTTAAAGCAATGTTGCTGTCAAAAAGTCCGCAATGCGAAAGATTTTAACATTTAACAAAAAATTAATTGATAGATTTTTATGTTTTAACGCTGACTAAACCAAAGTTCTTGATGTTGAAAAGAAATAAATATGTAAACGGAAAACGTATCCAATAAGTTAGCTGATCAATTTTTTGAAACATACTTTATAATACTGCTGTCGAGTTAGTATCTATCACAGCATTTTTGATCATGTTATTCCTGTATTATTCTTTTAATAAAAAGTTTATTTAAATACATTGGTGTGCAAAACTTACCAGAAATAGGTTTTTAAATAGTTTTTCCTAATTATAAAATAGGTAAAATACACGAGATTTGGTGATATTGTTTACGAGATCTGGAATTTTATGTGAAGTTAAAATAATGTTTTTTTAAGGGTCCGTTGAAGAAAATCGTTAAAACATCTCTGGCAACACTGGCCAAACGTCAAATTCAGGCGAATTCTGTGGGCGAATTCTAACCAACAAAAAATGTCGTGAAACTTTGAAAGTAAAATATTTAAAGTAGGTGATTATTTCCCTACTTGTTTGATGTAATTACTGTAAATATTGCGTTCTAACTTAAGTTAAATTTGTTCTTAGTCTTAGTATGAATTGAAAGCGTCATGGTGCTGTTCAAGACAGTGGCGATTATAGTGCCGAATAACGGTCTAATCGCTGGAGGAATCAAAATTTTCTCTGCTCTACGTTTATTGCTCGGTAGTTTAAAGTCCATGGGATACGATATAAAGAAAGTCGCGTTCGTTAAAGAAGAGGACTCAGTTCTAGCTCAGGAATTAACGATTTTGACTAAACTGTACGATTTAGCTATCATTGTAGCCAAACCGAAACCAGACTATGTTAGTAAAGCTTTAGCCTCCATGACGATGCAAGAAATTGAGTATTCCCTATCGGAAAGTGAGCTGAAATGGCCAAAATCCGTTAAAATACTTCAGTCAGATCACAGTAATACACCAGGTGTTATATATTTTCAGAGAATATTTGTATTACAACTAGGAGCAATCAAGGAACAAGTACAACATATTTTAACCAACCACTTACAGCACTATCGTAAAGAAAATACGTATTCAAAGAGTTTTTATATTCATAAAAACGGAGCAAGAAGTCACATACAATCATTACAAGTAGAAAATGTAGATATACAATACGACGAGGCAACCGATTGTGATGTAATAACGTTAAATTCAGGTGATTTTGAAAAAATTGTTAATGCAGAAGTTTTACTTAGACAAGAAATAAGTACAACCATATTAAATAGTCACTGGAGGAATGAAATGAAAGATTTGATATACCAGAGTGACGATAACCATATTAAATTATCTATTGAAGTAAGTGTGAGGTAAGAAGGTACAGGACTTACTTTTTATGTAAAGTTTATTTTTAACCAATGTCTGTATGTTTTATTTACATTCTTTTAAAGGTTATAGAGAAATGTCTGGATAAGTACGGGCTGGAGAACGTATTTTTAAGTTTCAACGGGGGCAAAGATTGCACAGTATTGCTTCATTTAATTAAAACGATCATAGAAAAGAGATATCCCGAAAAATGGAGTGATGTGAAGGTATGTTGCTTATATGTAAGAAGCGAGAACGCCTTTAAGGATCAAGACGATTTTATCGAACAATGTAGAGTCTTCTTCAATTTAGAGGTAAGTTAAACTTCGTTTTTCTCAATTATTAAAGAATACAAGGACTAATAACGACAGGGAGCTAAGTGTTACCAGTTGACACCAAACAGTGTATAAAAAAATTACAGAGTGAAATATTGATTGCAATTTTAGTTGAAATTCGCTTTTTTGTTTTGAAACATTTAACAAAATATGGTTTATAAATACGCCATATAAATATAAATTATATAGGTTTCGAAAATGTTTCCTAGTTGTGGCATACCGTTTCCACTTTGTGTCAAGAAACAGAGACACAATTATTAGAAACATTGCCTAAAATGTGTTCAAAAATGCTAGTTGAACTACATAGCTACCGGTTTACATACATGTGTAACTATCGAAAATTCGGATTATTGCTAGACCTTGGGTATTTACACAAATTGCAATATACCGGGCGTTCGCGTCCTTGTATTCTTTAGTCCTTGATTTTTGCCGTATTTTTAATTACAATCTATTTATTTCGTAGGTTATAACAGTTAATGCGAACATAAAAGATGCTTTGCAGAGTATACTTGACCAAAAACCACATTTTAAAGCCGTTTTTATGGGCACGCGACGAACAGATCCTTATTCGAACCACTTAAACGTGACGCAAGTAAGTATATTTCAGCAATTAAACTTTTAGTCATTGTTGCCAACCATAGACATATTCGGCGCCGTGCTGACTAACTAGAATTTAAATTTCGCGCTGGGGATTCAGGTGGTAGCTCTGCTGTAAAAAATGTCAAGTTGCCGTTTATTTATTTCCTGACATTGTCAATCGTTTTGGCACTTTAGTTCTGTATTACGAGTTTTTGGTTTATATAAATAATGTTATACTCTAAGCTTGAAAATGTTTACTGGCAGACCTTGCAGTCGAACCACAGATTATAAACTTTGTTTTTTCTTTATTGTTTTTCGTGGTTCCAATTTTCGGAATCGGGCACTAGTTAGGTTACTAGTTTGCGCACATAGCACGCCCACTTCATGATACAAAGAATACAAGGTATGATATTGCGCAGGTTGGTCAGTACGTCACAGGTGATAAACGGTACCATTGGTCGGCAAGCTCCGCGCGCCAATTTCAAATTGTCAAACAGATGACACAAAAAATGTGAAAATAATTTTTCAAATGTCAAGCTCCATGATTTGACATAACTTTTGGGGTTATGTCCTAATTCTTCCCTATTTTAGGTCTTTTTTTATTAGTGGCAATTGAACAATACGGATATTTTTTTGTATTGGCGTATGACGTCACAGGTGGTATGCGCAAACTTAACGAAATTGGAGCCGCTATCGATCATACCTTGTTTTCTTTGTACCATGCGCCCACTTATGGTCACTAAAATTGTGCACAGCGCCTGACCGGCACAGTTATTAGAGAGATATCGGAAAACCGAATAGCGTCATCCAGTATTTACGCGTACCTTATCATGGTTACGATATGCGCGAGTCAATTTTTAACGCAACACCCGCTAATAACGTTACCGCCTGACGTAATTTGCGGATCAATTACACCAAGAGCTCTTTCTAAATAACTACTGATAACGTTTAAAAATTGCTTAAATGGGCATGTGCGGGTATTTGACAACCGGGGCCGGCCGGCGAGATCTTTTATTTTAGGTTATGTTTGAATTGTTTTGATTTGTTACTTTAGTTTTATTAGGTAATTTGATATTTAAGTAGTTGGGATTAGTTTTAATTAAATAAATATGGCTCAAAATATGGATTCCACCTCTTCCAATATTAAAGAACCTATAAAGAGGCTTAGGTTTACAGCAGATGACGACTTAGCCCTTCTAACCCCCGGTGTTTTCAGGTAAGGATAGCGTGTTATAATCTGCCAGATATATTTTATTTGACGGATAGCAGAAAAACGCGTATCTTCACCTATAGATAACAGTATCTATTAGATAAATTAAACTTATCTCCCAGATACCCTATCTGGCGCCCGAACTGCCAAATAGTGCTTTTTTTGTCGGATAAAAATTTGACGCATGAGCAAAGGCATGAGGACAAAATTGCTTAACATAACCAAGACATTGTTATTATTGAAGATTTCGTTTATTCCAATAAATTCGATTTTAGATTATTTGGAAAAGACTTACCTATTCTGAGTATGTAGGCTATAATCATTTTAGAACGTATGGGGTATAAACACCAATAAACACATTGAAATGGTGCAAAAAACTATTGTTGCTAGTGCCGGACTTTATAAGGACTGTTACAAAATAAAGAGAGTCTCTGTTCTGTTAGAGCATCAGAACGAAGAGAATGCATTAAGTTAGGATAATAGTGATAAAACAGTAATTTATAAATTATTTTATTTAAATCCTTTCAATTATAAACCATTACTACATATTATATAAAATGCTAATGTTTATCTGTGTCGTCTCTACTGAAGTAACGACTTGCTCTAGAAAGTTGCTTTTTTTACTAAAAGATAGCTGAATGGCTCTTCTAAAAACTGTCGCTGCCGGATTTTGTGTTTTTCATTTAATTAAGAAAAAATAAAAAGTATTTTTTTTTTCCTGATCTCGTGGCGGATGCGCCAGGCTTCATCTAGTTTTTAATAAAGCTCTAAAGTAAGTAAAAAATAAATAAAACTTTTTAAATCAAACTATTTATTTCATTTTTAATTCGCATATCTTAATTCATTAATATTATAACAGGAACCTTATAAAACCTGTTATTCAACTCACATTTGCTTTTATTTCTTTTGTGTTACAATTTTAGTTTAATTTCTTGCACTATGTACCTTATACCGAATGATCGAAAAAAAAACGGCATCCAGTTGGCTGGGAAATGATGTTCGATGATATTTCCCATATAAATTTACATATGAAATGACAGCAATCTTTATTTCATAGCCATTGCTGACGCCGAATTTTTTTCGATCATACGGTACATCTCTTCTCCATGCTGTTTTTTAAGTAACTCTCTAGCTAAACCTTGCTAAAACATCTGTATTATGGTTCTTTGAATTCCAGTTAATTCAACTTTGTTTAGACAAGATTTTTCCTTTATTTTTTCTTTTTTTTCTGAAGTTCCATCACTTTGAGTTCTTAAAAATAACAGTAATATGACAAAATTGTTTTTATTTAATTTTTTTTATTAAATAATTTGTACATATAATGTGTAAATGTAGCAATTATTATAGGTACTATTCATTTATTATTATTAAGACAAAAGTATAAGTGCATTTATCTATTTTATAAAATAAAAACTCAACTTAATTACTATCATTGATGCTATCCTACCTATTTCTTTACTATGAGAAGCCCTAGAACAACATATTTGTTATTACTAACAGTCTTATGCTATTTTTAATTTTCAATATTAATAACTTACCAGATGGCGGTTTTAGGATTGGTTTATAAATCTCTGCTTGCACTTTACCAGCTTCTTCCATATTTTCTATTAGCAATTTTACTAAAATGTTAATATAATAAATATAACAGTAATATCATGTAATTAAACTATAAATTACTTACAGATTATTTTTTCTTGTTTTAATTTCTTATAAATCGCATTCCATCAATAGATCTATTGCACCACCACCACTGCTGAAATTGAATTATCTTTCCATTTTTCCATAAAGGTAAATTTAAATAGCCTATACCATAATAGGACTAGCTGGAGTTGAACACAAAATATATTTTAGTTGAATTTTATTGTTTTTATTTTCATTTTGACGATCTTTTGACAACTGAACAATAACCTCACTTTTTAATCTAACGATTTGAAATTCCGAGTTTCTGTCACTGTCTGTTGTATCGACTTTTCATATATAACCATCTCAATTTCAGATATCTTATATTGGCAACACTTTCTCTACGGAGTGTCTACCGGTCCGTAGGCGGCCGTCCTCCAAATTGTTATCTATTGGATTATTTTGTATAAAAATACCCAAATGTTATATCCTATAGATATCAGGCTCTAGATTGTTTATCTTTTAGATGGTTATTTGTTAGATAAAAGTTATTTATTTATAACTGAAGAGACCGCGCTTAAGAGAATTTGTTGCTTGTTGCCCTAAACCACAGAATATCTAGCTACGCAACAGAAAAATACTCGAAATGAAAGAGCTAAAAATGCACAAATAAAATACTAGATGGCGCGACAATATCATAATCAGAATATAATTGGAAATTTTCAACTTTCGGTTTTGGATCGACGTAGATCGACGGCACGTCGATGGCCTTGAAGCTCAGCTAAAAATGCACAGTTGCCAGATTCAAAGAGACTTTAATTGGCATCCCATTCTTTTTCTGGTGTATAATAATTTCTTTCTATTCTTCGTTTCTTGTCAGATACACTTATATTAATTATTCGTTTGGTTTTTAAAATAGTTTTAATTTTATGTATATTATTAGAAAACATATGCTCTCAAAATACATTTTTAATATACACTACTTTATTATGTTAACTAAGAAAATAACTTTAACTACCTTTAAAATTAATAATATACAGGGCGATTGATAGTGATATTTATTAATGCTGAAACGTTAGTAATGAAATATACGTTTAATAATAATGGAAACGATTTATTAAAATGCAGTACAAAAAATGTTAATTGACTAAAAAATACTATAATAACAATTTTTTTCTGTTTGCCACGTTATTTATATAGACCTAGGTAGATTTTAAAAAGTGACACAGGTACAATTAATAATATATTACTTAAGCATAAAAGTTGCTGTCACCGACATCGTACAATAAATTAAAATTCATAAAATAAATTAAAATTATTAATTAAACAAATCTTTATAAAGAAACGCAAGTATATCAAATTTGGGCCCAATCGAACGCCAGGAAATGGTATCGTAATATGGTACTACATTATGGTACCCCTTGATATGCTTCATGCTTCCATAATATTGCAATGTCATCAAAAATACGCAAGTATAATCAAATATAAGCCCAATCGAACGTCAGGAAGTGGTCGTAATATGGTACTATATTAAGGTACCACTTTATATATGCATCATAGTAGATGCATTATAGTACCATCATATTACAATGTCACCGAAGATACTTACTATACCAAGTTAAGCCCAATCGAACGCCAGCAAATGGTATCGTATATGGTACTATTATGGTACCTCTTGATAAGCTTCATGGTACCATAATATTGCAATGTCATCAAAAATATGCAAGTATATATCAAATATGAGCCCAAATGAACGTCAGAAAGTGGTATCATAATATGGTACTATAGAAGGTACCAATTTATTTGCTCCATGGTGCCATCATATTACGATGTTACCGAAATTACGTAGTATACAAAGTTTAAGCTCAATCAAACGCCAGGAAATGGTATCGTAATATGGTACTACATTATGGTACCCCTTGATATGCTTCATGGTACCATAATATTGTAATGTCATCAAAAATACGCAAGTATAATCAAATATGAGCCCAATCGAACGTCAGGGAGTGGTATCGTAATATGGTACTATATTAAGGTACCACTTTATATGCATCATAGTACCATCATATTACAATGTCATCGAAGATACTTACTATACCAAGTATAAGTCCAATCGCACGCCAGGAAATGGTATCGTATATGGTACCTCTATCGTATATGGTACCTCTATGTACTATTATGGTACCTCTTGATACGCTTCATGGTACCATAATATTACAATATCTCTGAAGATACGTAATATACCAAGTTTAAGCCCAATCGAACGCCATGTATCGTAATAAGGTACAATATTACGGTATCACTTGATATGCTTCATGGTACCATATATTGCAATGTCATGTAAAATACGCAAGTATATATCAAATACCGTATAATACCGAAAAAACGGCGTCCAGTTAGCTGGGGAAAAGACGATCGATGACATTTCCCATATAAATTTACACATAAAATGACAGCGATTTTTCATTTCATAGCCATCGCTAACGCCGTTTTTCCCGATCATACGGTATGAACACAATCGAACGTCAGGAAGTGGTGTCATAATAGTAGAACAATACTTATTATATTGTCGCCGAATTACAATCAAAATTCAGGATTCAGTTAGAATCAAACGTCAGGAAGTGATTTTAATTCAGCTCGTAAGATTTAACTCGAACTAACATGGCAAGTTAAATACTTAAATGTTTGAAAAAAGAGCTCTAATGTATTTTAATATGTTTAAATGATGTAGCAAATTTGAAGCTAGGCTTTATCAGGAAATATTACAGTATAAATTACACAATGGCCACACTGCATAAAATTCTTTTAAATTTCGTTTGTAGAAAACTGTTTTCTTTTAAATTTATCGCCCTCTGTTATGTAGTAGTGAAACTACCACATCAAAATATCTGATTTGGAGACAGGCTTTTAAAACCTGTCTCCTTTTGAGACCTACGATTTTATACATGTAACGAGGCTTCTGTTGCGTAGCTAGATATTCTGTGCCTAAACCCACTGGTAGACGTTGAACGATGAAGCACTGGAAATAAGCACTTTAGCCCTTTAGTTTTAAAATACCTAGTAAACAAAACAATTTCAAAGTTTTAAATTCAAAGTTAGGTTAAGTTTAAATAGCGGACGCGACGCGCACAGAATTCTTTCCGATCCGATAACTATAAATGAAGAGAGTTAATACCACCTCACGTAAAGGAAATAACACCTGGCCTTATTAACGTCCATGCCCGCTATTCGGTTTAGCGATATCTCTCTATTACGCTGTTTATAGTTATTTTACGCGAGTTTATTTTTGCGCACAGGAAATTTTACTCGTTTGCACATCGTCATAAAAAACAATTTTCGTACCAAGCGTACCACGAATTAGGGATAAGATTTTTATCTGTATACATATAGTATACCTAATCTGTGGTATGAACTGTATTTTTCCTGCATAAAAGAAGAAATATTGAATTTTACTCGTGTTATATAGGTAACGGATCCAGGATGGCCCCAAGTAATGCGTTGTAATCCGTTGCTCGACTGGAACTATTCGGATATATGGGATTATCTGCTCTATTACAAGGTTCCTTATTGTAAACTTTACGATTACGGATACACGTCTTTGGGTGACAAATTGAACACCGTCCGTAATCCGATTTTACAGTACGATGAAGGCAGCAAAGATATTTATTTACCCGCGTATAAAATGATGATAGACAAAAGCGAGAGAAGTGGCAGAAATGTTAGTAAAATTTAGACATAGATTCTTTACATCGCATCGTTACTTACATATACAGTGGGGTATCTGTTATATACAAAGTTGATCATATCTCTCACTTGTCTAAAAAAATAACAGACCATTATAAACTTTTAATATTCACAATAAAACTTGCCCCAAAGACGATTCATTGCCCATTTAAATTACATGGGAATTTGCCACTTTTTGTAAATATTTTTTTTTCTGTCGATCTTGTTCTCTCGCAGCCATGACAATCACATATTCTTGAACAGAATTGAACGCTCTACAAAAAAGGTATCTTACGATTTTTCGATAAATCTACTCCTTCAAAAGTTATTCACGGTTAAAGTTAACCAACCACTCTGTAAATTCCTAAATTTTTCAACTTTTTTGACAAAATTATGATTATTTTTGAAAAATTTAATCTATTACTGTAAAAATATACAATTCCGATGGTGTTAAGGTTGGGAATTAAGAAATCTTCAAGTCTAATGAAGTTTAAACCATTTATATAAGTATAGCTGATTTATTTTAATAAACATTCTTTAGTTGGATTTTGATATTTTTTTTTGTATGTTGGCAAGAATGTTGAGGAAAATAGCAGAAATTTATTGAACTTACTTTAAATTTATTACTTAATTATTTGACAAAATTATTCAAAAATAATCTTAGTTTTGTCAAAAAAGTTGAAAAATTTAGGAATTTACCGAGCGGTTAACTTTAACCGTGAATAACTTTTGAAGGAGTAGGTTTATCGAAAAATTCTGAGAGACCTTTTTTGCAGAGCGTTCAATTCTGTACAAGAATATGTGATTGTAATGGGTGCGAGAAAATAAGATCAAGGAAAAAAAATATTTACAATGGTCTGTTATTTTTTTAGACAATAAACCAAAAATTTAGAAGGCGTCGTGAGAGAAATGATCAATTTTGTAAATAACGAACACTCTAATATATAGAGTGATTCCCGTCCACGGTACGTTAGACGTTTATGGAGGATTTTTTGAAAAAAATGGATTTTTGCATAAAAACTCTTACTCTATCTGTCTTAAATTATTTTCCGCATGACAGGGTTACCGCTTCATACTAAAAGCGGTAGCATCTTTGTTATTTTAAACGGAACAACCGGTATATTATTACATTTTTCGAGACTACTTTCATATCTGATAATATTTTTATTATACTAACCTATACCGCTCTCTAATACACACACCGGAAAAGTCTAGGGATATTACAATTTTATCCAGCCATCGTCAGTAATTTTATTATTTGCATTTCTGATATAATAAAATTAAATTAAACAAATAGTTTACAGGACATATTGGAAATAAAAATGCGAAATTTACCGAATTTTTCAAATTTACCTTGATTTTTATTGACTTCAAAAAAATTCACACATTTTTTTTTATTCTAAACTGTGAATTAAAAAAAAAAGATAAAACCATTTTTACTTAATAAAGGGTATGGCCTCCTCTACTGTTCCTGTTCATTACAGCCCTACATCGTCTCTCCATGCTCCTGATCAGGTTATCGATCTCTTCTTGAGGTACAGCCTGCCACGCTGCATTCACGGCCCGAACCAGATCCTTACGAGTTTCACGAGGCATACCCATTCTCAAAATTCTTCTTTGGACCGCGTCCCATACGTGCTCGATGGGGTTGAGGTCAGGAGATTGTGCCGGCCAGGGTAAGATGTTTAATTGATGAGCATTGATAAACTCACTTACCACTCTGGCTGTATGAGGCCGTGCATTGTGATGCATGAAAATAAAGTTTCTCCCAAAATCATTGGCATATGGTAACACGACAGGCTCAAGAATTAAATCACGATATTTGATTTCTGTTAGAAACCTTTCAAGAAAAACGAGATCGGTTTTTCGGCCTAACTGGACTCCTCCCCAGACCATAACTGTTCCACCTTGATAAGGGTGCATTTCCTGAACATGATCCAACCGAATAAGATTTCCCGGTTGTCTCCATACCCTAAGCCTTCTCGAATCCGGATGAATTCCAAAGCGTGACTCATCAGTGAAGAGAACATTGGCCCATTGTTCATTCGACCACTGAACATGATCTTGGGCCCACAAATATCGTACCTCTCGATTTCCTCTCGTTAAGGGTTGATCTCTCCAGGGGCGTCTGCTTCTTAAGTTGACCTGTCTTAATCTATTGCGAACAGTGTCAGGACTAACGGTTACATTATGTGTTTCCTGGAGAATTAAACTAAGCTCTGGTGCTGTAAGAGTCGGCGGCGTCGATCATTTAATTGTAAAAAATGATCTTCCTGAGGGGTAGTAATGCGATGTCGCCCTGTGTGCCTTTCTGCAACATCACCACTTTCACGGTAGCGTGCACTTAATCGCGATATTACACCTTGCCTTGTATTTAATGCTCTAGCTACGTTGATTTGGCGCATTCCAGCTTCGAGCATACCCATGGCCCTTAGCATTTCGTCTCTGTTAAGATGTCTACGCTCCATAATGTAGTTTAATACTAAACAGAGTTATTTGAATGAATTCTGGCCAGTTATCATAAAAAACATAGCCAGTACAGGTTAAATTCGAACAATTGATGCTAGGCGCTTTTTATACATTTGACAAAAAATGCACAAACACTTCTGCAAATATCCCAAATTTAGAAATAACTAGTGTGACTACTTCGTTTCAATCGAAGTAGAAAGAATCGGCCTACAAATATGTGGTTGTTTATTCAAAACATTTATTTTTAACTTTAATAAAATGATATCCGTAGATTTTTCCGGCGTGTGTAGTTTTCGAGATAAAAAATAAAACATGTGTAAAATTGACATGAGAATTGATAAGACATGATCTTGAATAAGCGTTGGTTAAATCATAAATTCGGCATATTGAAAGCTGAAATTTAGTTTAGAGGTTAAGGAAATCGTCATGTTCGATCTGTCAAAATCAACCGATTAGATATCAAACAGGGAGATCAAAAAAAATATATTTATTTCTGTTTGTTATAAAATCGCTCAAATCATTGTTATTTTAAATTCAAGCTTATGTATATTATTTAAAAAATCAAAAGACTAATAAAATAGTTTTTCCAAACCAAACCTTTTGTTTCTTCAGTAAAGCCATTTAAAAGATAATAATTCTGTTATAAAAGTTATAAAAGATAATAATTCTGTTAGTCGTTTCGTTTAAAGAAAATCGTTACCGTGACAAATATTCAAACTTTATAAGTATCAATTATAGTATACCAGTGAAGAAATTTTTGAAACGAAATTACATTAATAAATTTATTAATTTTTAAAAGTTCTACTTAAAAAACCGGAAGGTTTAGGTATATCATCTTTCAATATTGAAAAGCTATTTTATTAGTCGTTTGATTTTTTAAATAATATACATAAACTTGAATTTAAAATAATGTTACGTTTTCCCTCGGTTCCGTGTGGATAGAAGTCACAATTTACTTAAACACAATTTATTTACACTAAGTAACAAACAATAACGATTAAAAGACTTAAAGAACTATTTACACACTATTTATAACTATTTATCTAGAAAGAATTTATTTTGAATTTAGCGCGGCAGCTGTACTCGTCTATTTTTGTCCTCCTCAGGCCCCAGTCGTCGGATTTTATACCCACAGCTAAAGAGTTCTCGAATAATCCATAGATCATTAGGTGCATAGAGAAGGTTTCGAATGTTCTCGTATGTACTACTCCATTCCAGTGGAACTCTATTGTTCTCGAACGTTCGAATGAATCATTACGGTGTCTATTCTTTAATGCGATATTAAGGTCATCCGGGGGCGGGACATATAGTTAAGTTAGGTCGAGTCCACACGGGTCCGCAACAATAACAAAGATTTGAACGATTTTATAACAAAAGGAAATAAATAATTTTTTGGCTCGCCCTGTGTAATATCTAACGAGTTGATTTAGACAGATCGAATATATAGACTTTTCTTAACCTCTAAACCAAATTTCAGCTTCTAATATGCTGAATTTATGATTTAATCATTGCTTATTCAAGTTCATGGTTTTGTCAGTTTTACACATGTTTTATTTATTATCTCAAAAAATGTTAGAGATAGGTTATAGGTTAGTGTAACAGAAAAGTTATCAGATATGAAAGTAGTTTCCGAAAATGTAATAATATACCGGTTAATGTAGTAGTTTAGGCTTTCGCGGCCATCGTTTGAAGAATTTTGGTTTTTTACTGTAGAGGATAATGAGCCTGTCTGTTGAAACTTTTATAGTCCCTTATTTTTGGTTTAGAGAAGGGAGTTTGATAAATATAAGCTTGAGAACTTTCACACCTATTGTGATCTGAAACATGGCAAAGTTTATTATCGATGTTTTCCCATTATTAGTCGTTTATGTTGCCGCCTTTTATTTCTTCAGAATATTATATTGCTTCATTTAAATGACTTATTCCTCTGGATGTGTCTATTAGCACAGATACGTCTTGGCTCCCCATTTGCCAATGTTCCGATAACTCTGCTTTGGCTTGGATGGTGATTTGGATAGTTTGTGTAAGTACCGGTCTGTAAGACCAGCAAAAGACAAAAGAGAACCATTATCCCTCTTCAGTAGGATTCCACTGTACCTTTGTTCCGTGGTAGCGTATATATTGGAACTACCAAACGCTCAGTAGGAACGAGACTTACGGAACACAAGAGAAGCTGCAGGTTATGGCAAACAGACAAGTCGGCCGTAGCAGAACATGCTCTAAGATATGGTGACCACAAAATCTACTTCGAAGTCACCCAAGTCATTGCCACAACATCTGGATATCATCCTCGTCTGGTCAGGGAAGCTGTTGAAATTCACAAACATCCAAATAATTTCAACAGGAAGGAAGAAACTCTCTACCTAAACAGAATTTGGCATCCAGCTATATCTAGGACCAAGGTAGCAGTACAGAGAAGTAGACCAGTTCCGGAAGAACCACCACCGGAACAAGCCACGCCCCCTCGCCGACGCATAAATACGCGCTACGCCGACGCGGAGGCATCAGTCTAGTGTGAGCAATCGGAGCAAACACACCTCTGAAGATGCTAGCCACTCGTGCTAGCGAAACGTTAGGAAGCAATTCTAACCGACGACGGCCTAATAACCCGAAAAACCAAAATTCTTCAAACGATGGCCGCGAAAGCCTAAACTACTACATTAAACGGCTCTACGGGGAGGAGCTATTCAGATTGTACCAACGCCTGGACAAGACACGGAAGCGAAAAGCTCACTTGCTATCATCGCTTGCTTTTCTGTGCCGCTGCCGAGACCAAAACGTAATACCAGGATTTCTCAAAATGAAGAGGGTATTCTCATCTACTCAGGCAAATCGCCTTTACACCAGGATGGAGAAAAATTTTCTTCGTGAGAGGATTCATACATCTAGACGAGACTTAGCAAAGGTAGACAGGGAATTGATCGACCTATTTTATATCCTTACCGCCAACATGCAACCTGTAGACTGGGACAAGATTGACGGAATAACATACCAAAATATGCAAAATGAATTGGAAAGAACATCAGCTCGCCAGAAGATCAAATATGAAAAACTGCAACCAAAAACCAAGCCGGAATATAGGATATCTCTTGAACCTGCTCGAACCGTGGTGAATCTCACAGATAAGACCCTTACGACATCAGAAGTAACATTATTAGCGAAGGGAGGAAACTTTGCCATAACACCGAAAGTGGTTCCAGTGGAAGACATTATTGCCGGAACAGAAGCTGCCATACGTAACCTTCCTAACAGTATCGCAGACGAAATCCGATTTGAAACGGTCAACATATTGAGAACTGCTAAGGCTCCAAAAAGTAATCTGTCTAGGGAAGAACATCAGGCTCTAAAATCGCTGAATGCTGACAAGGACATTCTGGTCTTACCGGCAGACAAGGGGAATGCTACGGTAGTAATGAAGTCTGAGGATTATAGGTCCAAAATCGAGGATCTACTGGAGCCCCAGACTTATAAGTTACTGAAGAAGGATCCTACTGCCTTAATTGTCAGAAACACCAACAGACTCATCAAGGCCTCCTCACTCCCGGAACATCTGAAATCAAAATTAATTAACTCGGAAGCTCAACCACCACGCCTTTATGGACTACCAAAAATTCATAAAGCTAGTGTCCCACTTAGACCGATAGTGAGTGCTCCAGGATCGCCTACTTACAACTTAGCTAAATACTTGACTACGATCCTACAACCGAAAGTCGGCAACACAAACTCTTATGTGAAGGACTCAACGCATTTCGTCCAAAAGCTAAAAGATATAAAACTGGAACCATCTGACATCATGGTAAGCTTCGATGTGGTATCTCTATTCACGAGAGTACCCCTAGGCGAGTCAATGGATCTAATCAAGGAATCATTCCCACCTGACATCGCGGAGCTCTTCCGAGTGTGTCTGACTGGTAGCTATTTCTTATGGAACGGCAATTACTACGAACAAACAGAAGGTGTCGCAATGGGTAGCCCAATCAGCCCAATAATTGCTAATTTCTTTATGGAGAGATTTGAAGAAAAAGCGCTAGAGTCATCCGTTCTGAAGCCCGCTGTATGGTTTCGTTATGTGGACGATACATTTGTGGTTTGGAAACATGGACGTGACAGCCTAGATGACTTCCTTCATCACCTTAATTCGCAGAGCCCGAGCATAAAATTTACCATGGAAACCGAAGTAAACAACCAACTGGCCTTCCTCGATGTGCTTGTCAAGAGAAATGGCGACCTTTTGGATCACACCGTGTATCGAAAACCCACTCATACAGACCGGTACTTACACAAACTATCAAATCACCATCCAAGCCAAAAACAGGGGATTATCGGAACATTAGCAAATAGGGCAAGACGTATCTGTGCTAATGAACACATCCAAGAGGAACTAAGTCATTTAAATAAAGCCTTTCTTGCCAATGGCTATAATGACAGAGAAATAAAGGCGGCGCTGGCACCTAGGCAGAGGAGACCTGACGCCAATGAACAGGAAAACATCATTAATAAGGCCTTCCTTCCATATGTTTCCCAGGTCACCGATAGGATTGGTAAAGTTCTCAAGAAGCATAACATCAAAACCATATACAAACCTACCCGAAAAATAAGGGACTGCTTAAGACCAGCAAAAGACAAAGAGGTCCATTATCCTCTCTGCAGGGATCTACTGTATACCTTGTCTTCTGCGGTAGCGTATATATTGGAACTACCAAACGCTCAGTAGGAACGAGACTTACGGGAACACAAGAGAACTGCAGATTAGGCAAACAGAGAAGCTCACTGCAGCAGAACATGCTCTAAGAGATATGATCACAAAATCCAATCTGAAGACACCCAAGCCATTGCCACAACATCTGATATCATCCCTCGTCTGAAGTCAGGGAAGCCGCCAAAATTACCAAACATCCAAATAATTTCAACAGGAAGGAAGAACTTTCTACCTTTAACAGAATTTGGCATCCAGCCATATCTAGGACCAAAGTAGCAGCACAGAGTAGCGTAACCAGTTCCGGAAGAACTACCAATTCGAACAAGCCACGCCCCCTCCGCCGACGCATAAATACGCGCTACGCCGACGCGGAGGCATCAGTCTAGTGTGAGCAATCGGAGCAAACACACCTCTGAAGATGCTAGCCACTCGTGCTAGCGAAACGTTAGGAAGCAATTCTAACCGACGACGGCCTAATAACCCGAAAAACCAAAATTCTTCAATATACCGGTTGTTCCATTTAAAATAAGAAAGATGCTACCACTTTTCGAATGATGCGGCAACATTGTAACATTGTAAAAAATAAATCTGCCACCGGTTCTCCATAAACGTCTATCGTGCCATCGGCGTGAATCACCCTATACAGGATGCGTCTCAAAAATGGCTCACCCCTATAACTGTTTTACTTTTTCAGATAAAAAAACGAGATTTGGTATGTTAGTATATATGACATAAATTAAGATTGATTGACGTATTCAATTGTTTTTGGTCACTTCCTGTTTCATCGGAAATACCTACAATTTTTGATTATTAAATGGCACTCTCGGTATATTCATACTTCATTCAATAGAAAATGACACTTTGAATAGAAGACATTTCGTATGTCAATTTTTGACATTTTCGCATATGGTTTATCAATTCTAATTTATGTCTAATTCTAATTTCTAAATCGATTTTTTCTCGAGCCACTTTTGGAACGCACCCGGTATAAATTGTTTTGAGTAGATTTTGGATTTTAGATGTTTTTTAAAAAAAAATTCTGTAAGTGTAATTTTAAACCGTTTTATTGTTAAATATTTTACAAAGAAAAAATAAATATATGTTGTTGACAATCAGGTATTTTTTTATTCGTCTTAAGCCTTCTGTCTGGGCTTCAAACTGATACAAAGAACATAATAAATAACATCATCTCCCTACTCTAAAAACAGATCTTTTAAAATATTTGATATGGTACTAATATATTAAAGCTATTAAAATACCGCCAAGTAAAAGTTTAAACAACTAGAGTACGACGGAGATAAAAAAAACGGCGTCAAGTTGACCGGATTTTGACGATCGAGGACTTTCACCATATAATTTTACATTATGAATGCCCGAGCTAATTCGACGCCGTTTTTTTTTTTCGATCGTGCTGTATAAATAAAATATTAGCATTATACAGGGTGACAAGGAAACCATTACACAAAACACTATTTAAATGTATTTTGTGAAATATTGATATGCGCAACAATTCCGATCTCGCCCAGTATAACCACAGATTGCCCAACTATTCAGAAGCGACAAAGGCAATTTATTTTGCAGTATTTTAGGCTAGAATTTTGATTAGTTCATTATGTAAAAAATAATAGATTTTTACGCGTAAAAAACTAGTTTTATACACGTAGAAAATTAGTCTTTGACAAGTAAAAAACTGTTTTTTACGTGTAATAAAAGCCAAAAACTACTTTTTCCAATTAGTATGTTCTTTTAAGACGCCATTTTCTGTTAATGACTATATTTAGAATATACAGGGTGGCGCAAAAATGGTAAAGAGAAAATATGTTTTCTTTGGCCATATCTACCAACCCTTAAAATACTTGCACTTATTTCTGGGACACCCTGTATATGACGTAGGAATACAGGGTTGTTCACCACACGGAGTATTGTAGCTAAACGATTAGATTTTAACAAATAGTAAGTTTTGGGTTCGTTGAAGGACTATTAGAGCTACAATTTAAAAATAATTTTACAACATACAGAGTGTCCCAAATAAGTAAAAAATATTATAGTTGTATTTTTTTAAACGGAACACCCTGTATATTATTCTATTTTTCGATACTACGATTGAAATAAAGGTAGATTTGATTAAGGTTTTCATCACACTACTTAAACGTTACCGTTTTTGAAATATTTTCAATTTTGTGAAATTGCAGTAAAAAATTTAAGGCTTATTTCTCCAAGGGTATTAAAGTTTTTAATACTAAATATTTACTGAAGATTATTTATTGATCAGATATTGTGTTGCGATAATAAAAATTGTACTATCTTATATATAGAGTGTCCAAAAATTTATATGAAATAATTACTAGCTTTAAACGGCAATAACTTGTTTAATTTACATGGAACACCCTGTATATTTTGCGAGAATCAGATGCACAGTTTAATTGTCTATCAAATTGTATTATACCATTTTTACTTATCTCTTCAAGTTTTCATAGAAAATGCTTTTTCTTATAATTTAGACCTCATTTATCACTATACCCATGGAATACTGACATTTTAGATTTTTTAAAGCAACATAATATGTACAAAATGTACAGGTGGTGAAAATAATAATAGAACTCTGCAGCGCATGCGCAAATGAAATAATGTCTTCATATTTCCTTCTGCGCATACGCATCACAGTTCTAGGACGGTTCAGAATCGGTAATAACAGGAAAACGAAAAAAGCTTATATTAATTATGCGTTCCAATTGTACCAACTTAATTCTTTGTAAAATAAAATAAACTACTTTGAAATTAAAATGACAGACACATCTATCACTGTCAAGGATTTTGTCGTTGGACAGACTATATCTGTACTCTTTGAAAATTTGTTACATCTTTAAAAATAATCTAAAATGTCAATATTCCATGGGTATAGTGATAAATTATAAGTAAAAGCATTTTCTACGAAAACTTGAAGAGATAGGTAAAAATGGTATAATACAATTTGATAGACAATTAAACTATGCATCTGATTCTCGTAAAATATACAGGGCGTTCCATTTAAATTAAACAAGTTATTGTCGTTTAAAGCTAGTTATTATTTAATATAAATTTTTGGACACTCTGTATAAGGCAGTACAATTTTTACGATTGCAACAGAATATCTGATCAATAAATAATCTTTAGTAAATATTTAGTATTAAAAACTTTGATACGCTAGGAGAAATGAAGCTTTAAATTTTTTACTGCAATTTCACAAAATTGAGAATATTCCAAAAACGGTAAGGTTTAACTGGGATAAACATTAATCAAATTTCCCTATATTTCAATCGTAGAATCTAAAAATAGAATTATATACAGGGTGTTCCGTTTAAAAAAATACATCTATAATATTTTTTACTTATTTGGGACACTCTGTATCTTGAAAAAATTACTTTTAAATTGTAGCTCTAATAGTCCTTCACGAACCCAAAACCTACAATTTGCAAAAATCTAATCATTTAGCTACAATACTTCATGTCATATGTGGTGAACAACCCTGTATAACAGTAATAAAAACGAATAATTTATCTCAGTGTATTTAAGAATTTCTTTCGACGAAATTCTAGAAATTTTTTTCAGTGTGCAAGGTCCAAAAAAATACAACAGATACTTCAAAGGAGCCAATGCAATGCTTATTGTCGCTTCTGTACAGCTTATGTCAACTCTGTGCTAACAACTTACACCAAAACAAATCCTAGTAATAATAACTGTATAAAAAAAAATACTGAAAAAATACAACCAAAAAAAAGATGACAGGATTATTCCTAAGACATCGATATTGCAGTTCTACGGACCACTGCACTGAGCAGCTCATTTTTGTCCGGTTGCTCGGTCATTACACTTACTTTGACCCACTGTCTCGTTTGAGAGGACTGTCTGATCGCAGTCAAAACGGCCTGGACATAGAGTCCATCATCGAAACTTGCTGCAGAACTCACTAAAAATTAAGTAAATATTATTATACAGTCTGTATATCTCTGGTTCCAGATTTACCTGGTTCTTTACGCCAACCTATCTGGTCGTTCACCGGCATGAAAGCCCCCCTTAATGCACCAACCATTTTGCACAACCCTTTAATAAACGTTTTGGGTAATATAGAATTCGGGACGGGGCATTTCAAGTCTTCTACGTCTAAATATATTACTTCTTCGGTATTTTTTTCCTTTCTTCCGAACAAATCACCTCCACGAACCTTTAAAAAACAATTTCAAGCATATTTTATTTATTTTTTTCCAATATTTCTTACAACTAGATGACCGGTACTGCTACAAATCATAATTTCCTGTTGAAATGTAGTTCCAGTTGTATGGCTATTGATTGTGGCAGTAACTAATATTCCGTTTTGTAGTTCCATTTGAAATGCACAAAAATCGGGAGCCGTAATTTGCCTGATTCCCTTAATATTTTCTGTGTGTTTTGTAAATGTTCTCACTACACCGTGGACCCTTACTGCTTTCTGGCCCATTAAAAAAGTTACCAAGTCGACTATATGACTGCCGATCAGATTTAATGTACCACCTCAAAAAAATATACATTTATTATACGTTTTTATGGAGAAAATATTCTTTTTACCGCCCATGGTGTCGTCACATTTCCAGTTGAAGGTGTCTATATCACTAAAAAGTGATCCTGTTTGAATTCTTATATCTATAAGGTTTACCGGTGTTTCTAAGTAGTTTTCTTCCAATTTCTTTTTTAAATGAATAAATGCCGGTAAAAATCTACAAACCTCATATCTTCTTACACTAATTTACACAAATAAAATGAATATTTTACCTAAATGAATGGTTAATAAGTGATATTAACGTGGGATAATATTGACCTGCACGAACCATTTTTAAGGCATCGGCCTGATTCAAACCGGCTGGTTTATCACAGACTACGTGTTTACCTATGCCCAGAGCCTTTACGGAGATTTGTGCGTGTAAATTTGGGGAACATAATACGAAGATTAGGTCGACATCTTTGCGAAGTAAGACATCGTCTATTTTGTTGGTTGAAAAGGGAATATTGAGGCTTTTGGCCGCTTCTTGGGCGTCCTGAATGGTTCGGCTCCAAATTGCTTCGATTTTGAAACCATTTTCTCGTAAAATTGGTACTAAAACTTTCACAACAGGGCCAGTACCAAAAAGTCCGATTCCGGGCAACATTTTTGACTTGTTTTTGTTTTTTTTTTCACTGACACCATAGAATCCAAAGATTAAAAATATATTCACACTAGGAATGGAGTTATAGAAAATATATGATGCAAACAAATTTTAGGGGGTTCAGGTACAAAAGGTAATTGTTTTTCAAGAAATTATCTCAAAAAATATTTAAAAAAATACAATACAATGGTTCTAAAAAACATTTTGGCGATATAAATCACAGATATTGTTAGATCATGTACGCTGTGTATATGACTATCGATAAAATCGCCATACTATCGATACTTGACATTACTACCCAAGCGCTTTTCTAACCTATAAATTTTTGATTTTTGACAGTTTGTTTTCGAGTTTCGTTGGTTTTGCATCGCAGAAACTTTCAATATAGCTTTATTTTTCTTAATTTCCTTTGTGCGTTTCCTTTATAAATTAAATCAAAGTGCAAAATGAGAATAGCGGTTGAAGGATGTGCCCACGGCGAACTAGAAAACATATATTCCACCATAAGCGAGATAGAACAAAAAGAAAACATTAAAGTTGATTTGCTGATATGCTGTGGAGACTTTCAATCATCACGAAACGAAGATGATTTAACTTGTATGGCGGTACCACCTAAATATCGTCACATTTGTACATTTTACAAGTAAGTCCTTAAATTTCAGTTTGAACGTACCTAAAATTATTATTTTTTGTTAGATATTACAACGGTGAGAAAAAAGCTCCAATTTTAACCATATTTATCGGTGGAAACCATGAGGCTTCGAACTATTTACAAGAACTACCGTACGGCGGTTGGGTAGCACCTAATATTTTTTATTTAGGATATGCAGGCGTAATTAATATTGCAGGTAAAATTAAAAAACTAAAATTATGTTATTTAGCAAAGTTTACATTAAAATTCTTTAGGACTTAGAATAGGAGGTCTCTCTGGGATTTATAAAGGAAACGATTACTTAAAGGGAAGATTTGAAAAATGTCCGTATAATGAAAGTACAAAACGAAGTGTTTACCATGTTAGAAACTTGGAAGTGTTTCGTTTAAAACAAATATCACAACCGGTAGATATATTTTTATCACATGATTGGCCTGTTGGCATCTATAACCATGGAAATATTGGACAGCTTTTAAAAAAGAAGCCTTTTTTTAAGTAAGTGTGAAGGTTTTTAGTAAATATATAGATTTCTATATTGTTTTATGTTTTTAGGGATGAAGTAGAGTCAAATCAACTGGGTAGTAGACCTTGTCAAGAGTTACTAAACCATTTAAAACCAAATTACTGGTTTTCAGCACATTTACATTGTAAATTTGCCGCATTGGTTCCTCATGAAAATGACAGTTTCACTAAATTCCTGGCTCTAGACAAATGTTTACCTCGTAGAAAGTTTCTTCAAATTGTCAATATCGAACATGATGAAACACAGGGTGTTCAGATAAAGTACGACTTAGAATGGCTGGCGATATTGAGGCTAACCAATCACTTGCTAAGTGTTAAAAGTACGGTTACGTATATGCCAGGTCCGGGAAGTACGGAGAGGTTTGATTTCACACCGAGCGAAGAAGAGAAGAATTTGGTGTTTCAGAAGTTGAACGGGATATTAAAAGTACCTAAAAATTTCGTGCAGACTGCTCAAGGGTACTCGGTAGGAAATAAAACCCATTCTAGACAACCTAGCATAAAGTTAAACCCACAAACTGTGGAATTGTGTAAAATATTGGGTATAGATGATCCAATTTGCTTGATTTCTGAAAGTGCCGGTCTAAATTTAAGTCTGGACTCCAGTTTTAAAGATTCTAAATCTTTTATTAGTGATTCTGACAATTCGTGTTCGGATAGTGAATCGAAATTAAACGAGTCCGATAATTCTTCAATACAGGAGAAAATTAAAGAGTTAAAATTGCCCGAACCGAAATTTAATCAAGAAAAATCGAGTGAGAATGAAATAGATGATAAAAATGATGGTTTAAAAGTTTGTGAAGAGTCTCCAGAAAAATTGTCACCAAAAAGGGTGTTGGATAGTGAAGAAAATGAAGTTAGTGAAGAAAAATCGGTGATAAAAGATGATAATACCCCAAAAAAGTTCAAAAGAAGAAATGCAGAGATTTACAACAGTGAAGAAATCAAAAGCTGATGATTATTTTTAAGTTATTTTTTAAAAAAATAGGAAAAAAGTTTAGTTTCCTTATGCAATATTAATAAAATTACCCTTAAGGAGGGTATTAAACTTTAATTAAAAGAAAATTGAATGTACATAAAATTAATTATGGATTGACTTTTTATCTCGATATATTTTTGAAAGAAAGACTTTATTTTATTTTATTTTATTTTCACAAAAATTGGTTTTAACCAAATAAAAAACTTATTTTTAAGTTTTTTTTTCAAAAAAATGAGGACCTTTGTTGTATGTTCACCATTGTTGCATGATGTGTAATATACAGGGTGTCATTGAAATGGTGTAAAAAAATCGGGGGGTGATAGTAAAAATATAGGTGATAGTGAAAAGCGGAAAGGGTAGTTTTTTCAAGGGTGGGGGGTTGTTTCATGAATAACTTTTTTGAGGTTATTTTTTTTGCAACGTGGGTTCATTTTTTGAAAACTACATACCTTTTCGTACAAAAAAGATACTCCTGTTGCACATCGCCCAGAGCGATGGTTTTCGAGAAAATTGAAGAAAAAGAGTTTGCTCTGACGGGTTGCTAACTGGTTAATCAACATAAACTTATGAAAGTTGTGGCGGTTCAAAAGTAGCAAAGTAGTTATCAAATAATTAATTGAAAAATCAAAATTTCATGATTTTTAAAACATCTTATTGCTTTAAAAAGCGAAATAATCCAATTACCAAAATTCCTTATTAAAATAACGCATCCCTTAATTCATTCATAGTAAATGTTCAAAGTGACCACCATTCATTTCAATGTAGACATCTGATCTTCTTCTCTACGATCTGCGTAGATACCCTGTGGAATATCCTTGGTGTTGTCCGAATTTGATTGGAACAATCAATAATGCGTTGCCGTAGCTGCTTTTCAGTATTAATCGGCACTGAGCAAACCAAATTTTTTTAAAACAATAATTAAAAAAAGTTTATTTCGTTTTTAAAGCAATAAGATGTTTTAAATATCATGAAATTTATGATTTTCCAATTAATTATTTAATAACTACTTGGTTACTTTTGAACCGCCATAATTTTCATAAGTTTATATTGATTAACCAGTTAGCAACCCATCAGAGCAAACTCTTTGCCTTCAATTTTCTCGAAAACCATCGCCCTGGGTGATTTAGAATTAGAATTAGAATAAGTGGGAGGGGGGTTAATCTCTGCGACCTTAGAGATCTTGTGTCCCCCTTTCTTGAGTTATAACTCATCATACAGTCCCAGGACTTCCTACGGAGACCCGTGTCCCTCACAGTCGAGGAGCTACGACCCAGGCCGGGTAGACGAAACGGTAGCTTGTGTCGCCTGTTGGGTTTAGAGGTAGGAGGTAGGCTCTTGGAGGAGGTGGTAGCTTGTATGCCACTTGCGGAGGATGGTCTCACGCAAGTGTCAGCCACTTCTCCTGTAGTTCTCTTTGGGTTTGGCCCCTTGGAACTTTCATTGTTACTGTTCCCAGTGTCGCTAGGGGGTTTCCCCACAGCTTCACCGGTGATGTTTTTATTACTATTATTATCAGATCTCATAGTGTTCCTATGAGTCGCTAGGGACAGTCGGTCCACTTCTACAGAGCCCCGCATGTAGAAGTAAGGGGTAAAATACAATGGGGTGCCCCAAGGTTGAGGCTGTCCGTAGCCCCGCCCGGTATCGTTATATGTCTTGGTGCAATTCCCTACGATGCCACGACACTACAGTCAGGGACAAGACGATGAGTGAGATGCTTCTTAGACCAAGCCAAGTACTAGAGGGGATTCCCCCCAGCACCTGATCAGGAGCTTCCCCACCAACGACAAGGTCTTGCATCTCCTAGGGGAAGCGCCCTGGGTGATGTGCAACAAGAATACCTTTTTGTAGGAAAAAAGTATGTAGTTTTCAAAAAATAATCCCGCGTTGCAAAAAAATTAACCTCAAAAAAGTTATTCGCGAAACAACCCCCTACCCTTGAAAAAACTACCCTTTCCGCTTTTCCAAATAATTTTTCAGTATCGCCATTTGATTTAGGGTCAAAATTTATGACAGAGTATTTTTTTTCGAAATTTATCTCGTTTTTTAAGCCTACAATTTCAAAACAACCGTTTTTTAAATTCACCCTTTCAGTGCCCCTAACTCCCTTAATATGCATTTTCCACCCTATACTTATAGGAACTTCTTTTACTATTTTTAGGAGTACTATCACCCCCCGATTTTTTTTACACCATTTCAATGACACCCTGTATGTAATGTTACACATCTTTTTTTCTTCAATAAAGACGATTATTATTATTGTTACGGATTCCGTGGGTCCACTATTTAAACTCACGATAAAATACTTAACGAATTTATTTTCTCACTTTATACACAATTACTAACTTATAACACACAACAAACTAACTATTTATAAGATTCCTTCACCAAATTGTCCGATTTTCAATTTCCACGCGGTATATTCAAATTTCAAAAACTGTCTCAGTTGTCGATGGCTCCGGCTTATATACTCTATTGACTGCTTCTCGAAATTTCCCCAATTCTCGGAAAGCGTACTTCTTCATACCAGACAATTCTATTGTCTGATTCCCTTACTTCTCGACTTGACTAAAAGATGGCGCCTGAAAAAGTCTTTTAATTTCTGGCGGATACGTTGCGGTTGTGCAGGCAACCAGTAATACATTTTTAATTTCTGGCGGATGCGCCATTTTTCTTGGCATTATTATTATTAAAAATAAGGTTTATTTTTTATATGAACATATTGTATGTCCGTAAAGTTTCCATTTTTTTTTCGATTTATTATACTTTTCTTTCAAGTGCTTTTAGCGATTTGAATGAAATTTTGTGGGTAAAAGTTATTATAAGTACTAAATATGTGTCGACAGATTCACCAGGGACGTACATATATGGGTTATCACTGAAATATTTCTCTAAAAATAAACATGTGTGCCACTGACTTTTTTTCTTTTGTTAGCAAAATTTGTGTAGACTATTTAACGTCAATTAAAAGTTGTCTCTTCGGAGAAAACTTCAAAAATTTTAAAGGTTGCCATTGAGGCAAATTAATAAAATTGCGTTTATCTCATCAAGGAGATCGAAATAGACAAAATATCATGATAAAACTTTTAATCGGCACTAAACTACCTACGCAATTTTGCTAACAAGAGAAAAAAATTCAGTGGCGCACGTTATTTTTTAGGAAAATATTCTAGTCATAACCCATATGGCACGTCCCTGGTGAATATGTCGATTCTTTTTTAGCATTAAAATATGTGGCACAAATTATAATAAATTTAAAAAATCGGACCTGTGTTGATATTAAAAATAAATATTATTTTTTTGTTTTTGTAATATGTTTTTTGAAAAACACTGTATAAAGTAGTGATTTAATTTTATATAGAATAACAATTTTTGTAAATGGACTGATGAGGATTTGTAGTGGTAGGAATAAAATAAAAGAATGTGAAAAATTATGTATAAATTTAATTAATAAGTCACTTAATACTAATTAACTTAACAAGACAATATAGGCTAAAATATTTAAAATTATCTGCTCCTAAACGTATCGCTACGGCGATAAAATAACAAATATGGCACCCTGGTGCCTTGCGGATTCAAAACCTGCTCTTCCTGTACCTAATTCAAATAAAAAAAAATAACCGTGAAAAAAATACACATCGAAAATATACCATCCTGGCCACTTTATCTGCGTGGTCTGGATTTTAATGCATGCGACAGAGATAAATATAAACGACCGGTTGACAGAGAGACAAAATAAAAAGCGGCACACATTGTTGTCGGTTTTTTACGTTTGTAGGGAAGCTCTTGGGGTATAAAATTAGGTGAAGAATTAATTATTTAAATAGCGCCGCAGGTGAAAATTTTTTGGCGCATTCGCCATTTTGTCAACATTTTTAAATTATTACTTGAAAATTTTTTTGTGCATTCACCATTTTGTCAACATTTATTCCTTTACACCGGGTGCGTCTCACCCATAGACAAACTAACAAAAGCAAGACTTTTCAAAGGATTGAGGAAGTCGAATTATTGTTTTTGCGCTGGCCAGTTGAGTCAGAAATCATCGCGCAGTCGCACTCGTCAAACCTAACTTAAATAAAACGAAAAACGTTTTTGCCTTGAACCATCCTTGAACGAACTGTTGAATTCCTGATTTTGCGTTTTGTTTGGTTATTACTATTATTTTATTAGCGTACAAAACGAAAACAAATAATTTAATACATTTTCCATTTATGAAGAACATAATAATTACTGTGATTATACATATTATTGTGATTACATCGCTAACATAGACAAAACGAAGGTCCTACAAATTGACTGTAAGTTATAAGAATCTTTATCTTTTTAATCTTTTTATGATTTGAATTTTCGTGCTTTATATTTTATAATAGACTCGAAATGTTAATATTTTTGCAAATTCTTGTGAAAATGTGAAGTTTATGTTTTTGTTTTATATTTGAAAAAGTTGTATATTTTTAGGATGTTTCTTGTTGTTCCTATTATTAATATTATAATATACATAATTATTTTTTTGTACCTTTTGAAGAATAATGCTTTTATTTCGTTTACCATAACTGTTGTTTTTTTATCATCTTTTTTGTTATTTTAATAAGAGGAATACGTTTTCGTTTATTTAACTTTTGTTTTTATATCTGTTATGTCCAGAAATTATTGTTTATTTTACCAATGGAAATAAATTTATTTGATTTTAATAAACGCTTTTTAATTAAACATCCTTGTCTAAAAGGCTACTACAAAACACACAATCCATAAGTAAACCGTCCTCGTCTAAAAGGCCAGTTGACGCAAGCGCGGTAATAAACTCTTATCAAACTTGTTACCGTTTTGCAGTACAGCGTTGACGCGTCTTGCTTTTGTTAGTTTGTCTATGGTCTCACCCCGATAACTTTTTTATTTTTTCAAATAAAAAATGAGATTTGGTATGTTAGTATATGACATAAATTAGGATTTCCTAGTTGTAGTCACTTCCTGTTTCACCGGAAATGACTACAACTTGATTTTTAAATAGCACCCTCGGTATTTTTTTACTTTATTCGATAGAAAATGACATTCTGAATAGAATGACATATCGTATGTCAACTTTTGACATTCCCGCTTAATAAAAAATCGTATTTTAAAATTTAATCTAGAGTGCCACGGCTATGTTAAAAACATTAATTCTTAATCAAGAAGTCTTGGAAAAATAGATTTGATCGTCTAATGTTTTTAGTGTCTTATCCTGGCCAGTTAGAAAATGCTCAAATCGTATTTTTAATCATATCTCAATTTTTTCAAATAGAAAGAGGGTGGCTCATTAGCTTATTTAGAAAAAGCATTTTTTTTACGAATAATTTGATACCACACACTCGGTATTTCGAGTCAAATTTTTGTTAAGAACCGCAAGTTATAATGTCAAATAAACCATATGCGAAAATGTCAAAAGTTGACATATGATATGTCATTCTATTCAGAATGTTATTTTCTATCGAGTAAAATAAAAAAATACCGAGGGTGCTATTTAAAAATCAAAAGTTGTAGTCATTTCCGGTGAAACAGGAAGTGACCAAAAACAATTGAATACGTCAATCAGTCCTAATTTATGTCATATACTAAGATACCAAATCTCGTTTTTTTATCAGAAAAAATAAAAGTTATAGGGGTGAGTCACTTTTGAGACGCACCCGGTATACAGGGTGTTTCAAAACAAATGCGAAAAACTTCAGGGGGTGATTCCTTGTCCAAAATAAAGGGTAGTTTGCTTCATAAACGTTGGGTCAAAAGTCAACCATTAGGGAGATATCGTGGTACAAAGATGGCGGAAAAATAATGTTTTTATTTTTTATCTTGAAAACGAAAACAGATAGACTAATGAAATTTTATGGAAGCATTACTGTTATGAAAACACACTTTCTGGTAATTTTCTCACTTTTTTAAAACGAGTGGAAGGGGTTGAAATAAACTACCCCTATCATACTTAATTTAAAGAAAAATCTTATCAAACACATGCAAAAAAACTAATTTGGATAGTTTAGTTTGTTTAGAAACTTTTTTATCTCTTGTATTTTTTTGATAAAACTCACCGATTTGAAATTAAAAATAAAATGTAAAGCATTACATGTCAGGACAAAAAACATTTTAATTTTTTTAACGATATTATTTTGTACTTTCATGAATTAAAATACTGAATTAAAAATTGTCTTGGCAAATAATTTTTAAGAGGTTATCGTTCAGAAGAAAATGTAACGATATTATTACGAAATAAAACTGTTTGACATCAGCCCACTAGATTCTTTATCTAAAAATGTTTTTTGTCCTGACATGTAATGCTTTACATTTTATTTTTTAATTTCAAATCGGTGAATTTTATCAAAAAAACACAAGAGATAAAAAAGTTTCTAAACAAACTAAATTATCAAATTACTTTTTTTTGCATGTGTTTGATAAGATTTTTCTTTAAATTTCGTTAACAAGAATGATAGGGGTAGTTTATTTCAACCCCTTCCACTCATTTTAAAAAAGTAAAAAAATTACCAGTAAGTGTGTTTTCATAACAGTAATGCTTCCATAAAATTTCATTAGTCTATCTCTTTTCGTTTTCAAGATAAAAAATAAAAACATTATTTTTCCGCCATCTTTGTACCACGATATCTCCCTAATGGTTGACTTTTGACCCAACGTTTATGAAGCAAACTACCCTTTATTTTGAACAAGGAATCACCCCCTGAAGTTTTTCGCATTTGTTTTGAAACACCCTGTATATTAATATTATTTTCCTTTTAGTTTGGGCTAAAACGCATTAAGTAAAAAGAGATACAACCAGTTTTCGCTAAACACATTATTTTGCATTCCAGTAATAATATAATTAAATTTAAATTAAATAATAAACATTATATGATGCAGAATCCGGGAATACCGCATCGAAAAAACGGATTAACTCAACTTTTATCTCTTTTTCAATACATTTGGTTTTCCATTAAGCTGTGTACATCACTGTTTTACACGTTAAAATCCAGACCACGCAGTTTAGGTGACCAGATCGGTATACTACGTCGTTTTTAGGAATATTAGGTAGTTCCGTGGTGATATTTTCAAAATATTTAAAAGTGAGAAACTCGACATTTGTGGTTCTAAATAAAATTATTTTTTGAGAGAAATTTTATAAAACAAAGACAGATAATTTTGTTTTAAATAAAATTAAATTGAGATAGAAACTTACCTGCTTCACTGACGAGTCATCGTATCTTAACCAACTACTATATCCCACATGGAAAGCATCTGTGACGTAATGACCCTTGGTCGCCTCTTTACCATCATGGTAAACCACGGCAAATAGTTTGTATTGTTTCTCTTTAGCGTTGTTTGTTTTCAAAGATAACAATTCTGTAAAAAAAGTATAATTATTCATAGATTTTTATTTGGTAAAAAATATTTTAAAATTTTAAGTCTCGCCAACACACTGCGGTTTCGGCAAATATCACGTTTTTTTCCGACAAAAAATAGTGTAAAATGTGAGAAAATCATATTAATTTAGAATAAAACCTGCTTCTAGACTAAAATATGTCGAAATCTGATACAATTCTTCTGTATATTTGATATCAATTAAACTTTTAGTTACGTAATCGAGGGCGCGATTTTTAAATTCATTGTTGCCAACCGTGGACATATTCGGCGCCGGGCTGACTAACTGGAATTTAAATTTCCCGCCGGGAATTCAGCTGGTAGCTCTGCCGGAGAATATGTCAAGTTGCCACATTTGTTTATTTATATCCTGCTTTGAATAAGAAGACTAAGGAAGGAGCATAATGCTATCCATGTATTCATGCATGGTGGGCGGAAAAGGCACCATAAAAGCTCTCTAGGGTGGGGATCCTTGACAGTTCTGTTTGACGATTCATTTGACACATTTGAATTTGATTTGAAATTTTCTGGATTTGTCAGTCTTTATGGAGCTTATTTTATGTTATTTATCATTTATTCTACTACTGATTATATATAAATTGTTGTATAAAGGTAGTAAATCTAGATAGAAAGTGTGGCAGAACTTAAATTAACAGTGACACTATCGCGATTTATCGAAAAAGACTCTAAAATAGTTGGTTGTGTAGCGTGCGGTAGATCTCGGCAAAAATTGAGTGAAATAATGGAACAACTTTTCGCTAGTAAGTGGCTATATAATATACATACGTGTAGTAAACCGATCATTTATGAAATTCACTTAAATTAACTAAATTATATATTTTTTTTCTTTCATTTTAGCTTTTATTTATTACTTGTCAAAGAATTCAAAGAATTTAGATACGTTAATTTGACTTACCTGCTTCAGTAGCGTATCGGATGTTTGTGTTAATAAATACTTATTATAACTTATCTATTTTTATTAGAATTATATATTTTTATAACAATTTTAATAACTACCAACATTTATTCACAACGTAAAATAAAACAACAAATTATTGAGTCTACCCCACGTCTACCCTACATCATAGTTTTACATTTTTTAAATAAAATTAGAACGACACTGATAAACCGGAATTTAAGTCGGCCATATTTGTGGCCCATCGCGGTGTACCTAAGATTTTTGATATGCTCCTTCCTTAGTCTTCTTATTCAAAGATTTCCTGCCATGACTAATGAATACAAGGACATATAACACCCAAGACCAAATTGTTACCATGGCACCAAACAGTGCCGTGGCCACATATTTTTCTTAACTTAGCTGCCTGAAGGGAAAATTTATATTTTTGATAAATGTTTTGACTACGCCTATGGTGTATCGTATTAATTAATTAAAAATTAAAAAAAAACCTATTAAAATGTTAACAAAAGGTACAAAAGTAATATCGACGTATAGCACATATCAAGTACATACAGGGTGTCCCACTTAAGATGGATACAAGCCAATATCTTGATTGTTTGTTGAGCGATATTTTTCATTTTTGGCAGGAGGTTGTATGGATAAGACGTACATTTTGCGCAGGGTAAGAAATGCGATACCTCATAGACGTACGTTTTAATGGGGTTTGATATTTTTCGAGTCAAGAGTAAACTACCCTTAGGACAGTATTTATTTCCAATCTGATAAATAATATTGAATCCTCCTTACCCAAGATACTTAAGTTCTAATTTTGATAAATATTGATACAGGGTGTGTTATTAAAATAAGACATTTTTGTTTTTATTATTTTTTTAAGTACCTGCGACGCCACTGGGTAAACAACTGGTTTATTATCAATCAAAAAGCCAAACTTATTATAACTTTATTAGAATATTTTGAACGGGAAAGCGGTAGTAATTGCCCTTTATGTTTATTAAGTGCTGTTAAGAAGGTGACTTTTGTTGATGTAATTAATATCGGTTTATATATTTATAATTAGTTTATTTTTTTTTTAGTTGTAGTTTTGTCTGCTTGGTCTGGACCCGGCATTACTTACTTGTATCTATTTTTAAGTCAATCGGAAACTCCAAGGCTTTTATAATCTTCGTACACCCGTCCAACTGGTAATCGAAGCATTTCAAGTGCAAAACCAACACGACAGGCAACTCGTCCAGCATAACCTGTTGCCACGCCTCCACCTCCTGATTGGTCTTCGACGACGTCAGTCCTTCCAGTTGGTACTTCGTCGTCAATGCTTCTAATGCTTCGCAAACCGTTTTTACTTTCTGCAATGATAAATTTAAGGTTATGTTATTTTCTTGGGTTTTATATTGTGTAAAAAATGTGTTTTTACCTCGATATTTAATTGTAGAGTAAGAAAGGGTTGGGTATTTTCCGTGCTGAGGTCCCCAGCTCGGTGAATTTTCGATTTTAGTGATCCACCAAAGATGTCTGTGATGGGGGTCTTTTCGAATACTGTTTTTCGTTGGATGCTACCTTTGTTTTTTGCTCCCATAATCTACAGATATGTTTTCATTAAATAATATAGAACATTTAACCAGGAATATACCGGGTGCGTCTCAAAAGTGGCTCACCCCTATAACTTTTTTACTTTTTCAAATACAAAAACGAGATTTGGTATGTTAATATATGAAATAAATTAGGATTGATTCACATATTCAATTGATTTCGGTCACTTCCTGTTTCACCGGAAATAACTACCACTTTTGATTTTTAAATGGCACCCTCGGTATTTTGTTATTTTATTCCATAGAAAATGACACTCTGAATAGAATCACATATCATAATATGTCAAATTTTGACGTTTTCGCATATGGTTTATTTGAAATTACAACATGCGGTTCGTAACGACAATTTGACTCGAAATACCAAGTGTGTGGTATCAAATTATTCGTAAAAAAATGCTTTTTACAAATATGCTAATGAGCCACCTTCTTTCCATTTGAAAAAATTGAGATATGATTAAAAATACGATTTGAGCATCTTTTAACCGGTCAGGACAAGACAGCAAAAACGTCAAATCTATTTTTTCAAGGCTCCTTGATTAAAAATTAGTGTTTTTAACACAGCCATGGCACTCCAGATTGAAATTTAAATTACAATTTTGTTTTAAGCGAAAATGTCAAAAGTTGACATATGATACGTCATTCTTTCACAGTGTCATTTTCTATTAAATAAAGTAAAAATATACCGAGGGTGCCATTTAAAAATCAAAAGTTGTAGTTATTTCCGGTGAAACAGGCAGTGACCAAAAACAATTGAATACGTCAATCAGTCCTAATTTATGTCAAATACTAGCATACCAAATCTTGTTTTTTTTTATCTGAAAAAATAAAAAAGTTATAGGGGGTGAGCCACTTTTGAGACGCACCCGGTATAGAGTATATTAACCATAACCAGGAATGGGCAATTTTTGGCGAAAAATACATATGTAAAAAAATGTAAAAACGTAACAAAATCTAGCAAAAAACAACATTCTTTTTACTTAAAAAATCACCTAAAAAAGAAGAAAATTTGCATTTTTCTTCCTTCCTAACATAGGTAGATCTATTATTTCTTCGCAAAATTTCAATTGCAGCACATAGTAAAAAAATAGTTATTATCAATAAAATTACCTAACCTAGTAAATAAAATTGAAAGATCATTTTTTTATAAAGTAATTCACAATTATGTTTTTTTATTATTAAAAAAACGGCGTCCAGTTGGCTTGGAAATGACGATCGATGACATTCCCCATATAAAATGACAGCGATTTTCATTTCATAGCCAAAAATCTTTGAAAATTTTGAGATTTTAATAGACGTTAAGTTAATATAGCAAAAAAGATAAAAAAATAAATACCTGCCAACTGTCATCATCACCCATTGTATCATCTTGTAATTCAGAGTTTTCTATACCATTTGTTTCACTTTTTACAAGTTTAATCAGCTGTAAAAGATGCAAAGCATAAATACCATATAGTAAAAAAATGTTAAAAAGTTCATTTTCCTACTCAAAGAACAATAGTAAACAAAACTATCATTTTAAAGAGTATATTACAAACAAAAATTCAAAATGGCATTCCTTCATCTGAACAAAAACAGGAAAAAACTGTAAAAATTATAATATTATTTTTACAATTCACACAAAAATACTTAATAAAACTGTCACACTGACAGTTCTACCAAAACTGTCATTTTAAGGAGTTGACTCAAAACTGTCACTTGTCAAAATTACAGTTTTCTCACAACTGCCATTTAGTTAGAATGTAAAAAACACTAAAATAGTGTCAAACAGTTTTTTTACTAATCTATCAAAAATTTAAAAAAAATGTAAAATTATAGCATCTTTAATATTCACACAAAAAAACATTAAAATTATGTTAAACCAACAGCTTTTCACTATGTAATAGTAAAATGAACTGTCAAAATGACAGTTCTTTCTACTATTCAGACATACAGTAAAAAATACTGTCAAAATGACAGTATTTTTACTATTTTTTGTTTGAAACTAACCTCAATCATTTCATCATTTAAATTGTTTAGTAAACAGCCCAAAAATTCCTCAGCATCTTCCTGACGGCCTTCGATAAGATCAGTTCTGATACCATTCAACATTTTATAAATCCAAGATGGCTCAAACGGTATATCAGTATTGATCAACGTACTCTGATCTTTCTTCTGATCCTTTTTGTTGTTTCCATCCGATCTTCTGTTGCTCACTCTCATATTAGCTGGAAGATGCTTAAATTCTTTTACAAATTTGCACCTAGAAATCATCACGAAAATAAGAAATTTTGAGGAAAAAAAATTAATTCTCAGCACTTAAGTTGGTAATTATTGGGAAAACTGGAAATCGTCAGATTTTCACCAAAATTGGTATACACCCTATTTTGAGGTCATAGATTACGAATCTGAACTTTTTTCTTGGCGGTCTCTTACCGTTTTTCAGAAAAACGGAAAATTATTTCGACATCGAATTAGTGTGTTAAAAAAAAGTGTTAAAATAGTGTGTATGCCAATTTTGGTGAAAATCAGACGATTTCCAGTTTTCCCAATAATTACCCCTAAGTTATAACATGTATACTTACATCCCGTCAATAACAGGCGTAGGTTTTCTCTTCTCATTGGAAGAAATATTTTGGGACAAGCCACTCAATAAATTGTACATAGGCGGACAGGCTATCAAAGCCTGTAAAATCGAATTGATATAGCAATAATTGCTCTGATTAATCAAGCCTCTCGGTTGCAAACTGATAGTCCGACCGTCCAAAGAATAATTTGACAAAAACTCTAAAAAAGAAAACAAAAAATTCACTCTACCGACAAAAAAAGACTATTAATATACATTACCTCCCATTCTATAACAATCCGGATCAACAAAACAGTTTTTCCTAGGATTCTTGATCGGACAAGAAGTTAGGTTAGGTTCCTTAGTCACAGCCTCAAACGTAGGTCTTGTAATCCCGTTAATTTGTGACCCATTCAACGTATCGTCTTTTTTAGGGGTAAACAGACTTGCCCATGATTTCCCCGAACCCCAGGCAGCTTTGGCTTGTTTAGGAACACTATCTTCAGGTTTCGGCAATGCTTCTTTCAAATTACTATCCAGAGAAATAGCTTCTTCTTGCTCTACCGTTACGTTTCTTGTGTCAGGTTGCGAAATCTCTTGCACTGGAGGGTTTAAAACAATATTTTTTTCGACTGGTGGAGAATTTACAAAGGGCGCTACGTTATTGTTCAAAACAGGAACATTTTGAACATATTGTGGACCTGTATTCGGGTAAAAAGGTTCTGCCTGTACGTTACTAGGATAGGAAACAAAAATAGGCTGTCCCGGGGCAACAGCTGTGTAGTAAACTGGGGTAGCGTTAGGTGGCATATTGTGTATGTTTGCATAACTCGATGCAATCTGGTAATGCACATTATACGATGTTGTTTGCGGAGAAAAATGAGAGGCTTGCTCAAAGTACTGATGACTATTTACAGGACTGTTTACAGTATGGACTTGTTGCTCACTAACTGGACTACTCAATGGGATCGGTAGTCCATTTTCTGGATTAATAATCGGTATAGCTGCTCTCCTTGGTGTTATTTCTGGAGCAGATACAACTGGTTGTGAGTCAAACTGTTTAATTTTAGGTAATCTTGAATCTACAAGCGACACAAAATAAAATATTTGCTTTTATAGGTGATAAATTTGATAAATACCATTATTGTGGCCAATAATCCATGGGAATTTTGAATTTTTATGCGTGGGTTGCAAAGAATTCAAAACTCTGTCCTTTTCGAATTCGTCAACGCCACTTAGGTCCAAAAATTGGAGCCCTAGCTGTTAAAAAACATGTTTCATGAGACAATACAAATTTAAATAAACTTTTAACTTTAAAAATTTCATGTTGTAAATTCAGTATGATAAGATTAATATTAATGCATTTAATTATCAGAATAGGCGTTATATAAGGCTAAGAATAGCAATAATAAGAAAAATATGTACACAATGAAGTGTGTGCATTGAACGGCAATAAGGGTGCTTTATATTTTATTTACCAGGACTTACCGTGCCAGGAAACTCCATTTTAAAGCAAACGTAACTCTTGGGGGTGTTAAATACAGAATAGTTTCATTATTTTCGCTTTCTAGGGGATGATTTTCACATTTTTATTATCATCTTTACGTAGGGTTAAGTTTTCCTCACGTTGTGTTTTACAACTGTCATTTGTCAAAATGTTGCCGCTCTGTCAAAACCATGGAGTAATAAGAGAGGGGAGGCGCAACAGCTATTGCGAAACCGGGCTCAGTCAGCCATATTGGTGGTAGTTTTGTGTCATATGTGCTTGGAGCATTTTCTTCTCTGATTTTCCCCTAAATTAAATGTTTTTCATCAATAATTTGAGTGTCTTTTTTTATTAATAACCCATGGCGTCGTTTGTTGTACGCAGTTGTAGGAGCAGACTCGAAGAAACTCACTGGAATAACATTTCACAGGTCACATACATAATGGAAAGGTCCGTAACGCAGCTACTACAAAATTATAGATAAAAAATAAAAATTAGGTTAAAGAATTACGAGATATAAGTTTACTACAACATAACGGACATACATTAGTGAATTATTGTTACATTAGCTTAAGGCAAATTTTAATCATTCTTCAAAAGCCAACGATGATTAAAATTTATTAAATTATTTGAAATTTTACTTAATCCGGTCCTGTCTAATTAGTAGACTTTTGCCCCGCCTTATAATACCATTTTTATCATACAGAAATACGTATAGTAGCGTCTCTCCTCTCTTATTCCTCCATGGTCAAAACGATCCAGTGCCAACCAACGTGAAAAATCTAAATTCACTAGTTTTGGAACCTTTTTGAAACGGCCATGTATTTTTTTGTTTTGCTTTAATATTTTATTTTTGTAGTTTTAGCTCTGGTTTTAGGATATTTTTTAGTTTTTAGGATATTACGATGTAAAGGATAATATTTAGAAGATAAATGTCTAGGATCTGGTTAACAATTATAAGCACATGAAGTATCAGGTAAATTTATAACTGCTTTAATATTATTTCTGTAGTTTTTTTTTAGTTTTTGGGAAACTGGTAGTGTAAAGGATAATATTTAGAAGAAATTATAAAAACATGATACATCAGGTAAATTTATAACTTGAAAATAGACATATTTAAAGGTTTATTACCTTTTTTTTAAGTAAAATAAATACAAAATATTAAATGCGAAAATGGTTACAGGTATAACATTTTATAATCTATATTTAAACATGTACTTTTCAGTGAAAAACATTTCATTAGGATGTGCATAATATGGTTGTGGACTGACAATTCATTTTACTCGTAGATTCTGAATATAGAATATAGTTAAATGGAAGTAGATTTTTTCAGAAAACTGATAACATTTTGAGAAACAACTAACACGGAAAGAAGCATATCATGATTCTTCTAGAAACCTATAGCTATAGTAATTAAGTATTTACACGGTACGCAATATAATATGGACTCCGGAATCTGTAAACACGGGCTCAGAGAGTTCTCCCACTTTCAAACCGAACGCTGCCTCTTCAAATGGTTTTTGCATGGCTCCTTTACCAAAAGGCCCCAAATCACCTCCACGTTTCGCCGATGAACAATCGGAGTATTTCGAGGCCAATTCAGCAAACGGTGCCTTACCCTGAGCTATTTGTTCACGATATGCTGAAAAAAAGGCATGTCAAAAAAACATTCCTCAAAAAATAAATTATGTACTTTTGACCAGTTCTAGGGCTTCGTCCTTGCTTCGCGTGATATTGTCCTCCCTCCAGGACGAGGGTCTCCTCGAATCTTTGTGTTTAACTAATAAATGTGAGCATTGTACTTGTTCGGGACCTGAGCTTTGAACAGGTTCTGCAGGCTTGTCTGGAACGTCCCATTGGGATTCTTTGGTGTAGACATTGAGATAATAGTGTTGTCCTAAAAAAAAGTTAAGTTATAATACAATAAGTATCTGTATCAAGCAAGAAGATAATTTAAAAAGTAAACATTAACATGCAGGCGAGGAAAAACACGAAAAATTGATATTAAGCTGATAAATCTGTCAGTAATTAATGTTAAATACGATAATTATACAACTTAGGATCAGTCTTTCACGAGAAATGGGGAAAATTATTTAAAACTAACGATATTTACCGGTGGATCGGCTCAAACGTTTTTCCCACCCGGCAGGTAAACTTTCGTCCGCCATCTTTAACGCAAAAATAAATTCCAGGAAATCGCGGCTAACTTCACGGGAAAAGCTCAAACTTCGGCTGTTTTCGGCCGAATCGTTACTAGTTCGGTTAATCCCGTCAATTTGCCAATTTACCATTGGTTGTTTGAAATGTTTTTTTAAAGCTTGACCAATCACAGCGGCCGAAGAAGGAAAATCCACGTGGGCAGGAAAGCGCGACCTTGCTGAAATTAGCAACAAAACAGAAACGGACTATCAGCTGGGTGGTGACAGTTCGATTGGAAATTCTTCGGTTGATGTACGCTGGTTGGCATATTCCTTTAATTTGCTGACATATTTGCGGGTTTTTTACTTTTGCATCAAGTTATTTCAATAAAATATCTTATACTAGTCGATGTGTTACATACTACGGTAGCTTAGAACTGATTTTAAATCGGAAAAACGGTTTGTTGTCAGTGCGGGGGTGTGATTTTACCGTAAACAAATAATCAACATAACGGACACTACCCTTTTATACCAAGGTAAGTGAATTTAGAACGGTAATAACGTTATTGGTGAAAACATTCTAAACATCTGCGTATGCTGGCAAAAAAAATGTATAAAAAGTAGGTCATTAAAATATACCCACGTATATTGAGAAATAAAATTGTTTTTATAATGAGATTTAACAGGCTTTGTTGAAATTATCGATATTACTGTGTGTCGGTAAATTAACAATTCGATTGTTAAACAAAGAGAAATCAATTTTATCGGGATTACAGAAAGGCTAAAATAAAGATTCACCTGTTTGGACACCTGTAAAAAGGCGAAGGGACAGGTAGAGAAATTCTTGAGGGAGTTTTTGTATTGTGACTCACTATTTAACTCGAAATTCTCGGTATAAAAACGGCATCTCTGAGAAAGCTGTTACAAGGTGTTGTGCCAATGAAATACCTATATTTTTTTCTTCGTCTGATAGGTAGGTAATTTGTTCTGCAGCAGCCTGAGGCTGTATATGAGTCATGTTAATTTAATCTGCGAATGTTATGCCACGAGTGGAATGTTATAATGTTCAATTCTCTTTAGAGCGTGAGCTTGTTTTAAATTTAAAGATTAACAACTCCATGAATAACCGAGAGAATCATTACGGTAATTACTAATTACAGATATGAGACATCGTACATTTGTGCTAAGGTTATTCAGTGATTGTGAGAGAATTTTTAATTTTTTATGCCGTTATTTTTGGGATGTTCAAAGGAAGATTAATTGTAGAGTATTGTTTTTATTCAATGTCATTTTTTACTTTCACCACATTATTAGATAATATAAAAAATATTGGCATTGGTAGAGGATTAATAATAGACACCCACTATCTGAGCCTATACATATACAGGGTGTCCCATTTTCGCACGTTTCTGAGTAGATCTACCAATATTCTTTTTTTACACCATTTATGAAATTAAAGATTCTACACACGGTTTTATCCTAGCTCCATTACAAAAAATGTTAATTTTTTAAATAAAAAAATATATACAGGGTGTTCAATTAAAAACAAAACGAAGAGATTATTTTATATTTTAGAAAGTTTGGCGTAGAATTTTGAACACCCTGTATGATTTAAGATTACGATGTTTATAGCAAAGTTAAGTATAGACCATCTAAAGTAAATACCGAATATAATGTTGATTTCAGGATAGTTCTTGTATTTGTAATATTTTTTTAAGAAAGGGTGAAAAATATATATTTTTTTTAATTATTTTTTAATATCTCTGAAACTATCGAAAAAAACTCATTTCTTAGGATTATGTAAAGTGATCTGAAAGGAAGCCAAAAATGTAATAATATACAGGGTATTCTATTTAAAAAAAATCATCCTGATACACTCACAGTTTTTTGAGCCACCCTGTAGAAGTTAAAATATTTTCCTGAAATACATCCTAGTACATACTTTAGGTTAGCACCTAAACAAAATTTCCAAGTTTGTTATTCTAGGAGCTACAGATGCCCGACGCACTTTTGCCGGACACTGTATAAATACCTAGTTTTTTTGCTGGGAGCTGTCATTATTGAAATATTAATTTCAAGCATGAGAGAGACAGAATTTTTTGAATGCCTTGTTGTGATTCTTATTTTATGTATGGATTACAATAATGACGATTTATTATTTTTATTATTATTAAATATGACCGAAACTTTTTTTAAATGGGATACCCTGTATATTTTTTTAATTTTATTTGCCTTGTTACGAGCTTTCTAAAAATACAATATATGTACCTACTCATAAATAAGGTAAAAAAATGCATTTTTTAATTTTTTTGGAATTTGAAGCACCCCAATCTTAGCCCCCTTATTGCTTAGGAGTTAAGGAGAGAAAATAGAGGGTTTGTGTCCCCAAGCTGTCTGAAAAAGCCGTTTGAGACCTGTGATCGATCAAAATCACTCGGAATTAGATTTAGCCCGAATGTTGCAGTCGGGATATTCCGCTACTATTGCTATAAAATTGTATTTGCGCATCCCTTAGGAATGCCAACGATGCTCTCATTTAGAGCTAAATTCTCTGGATCATAATTACCGTATGATCGAAAAAAAAACGGCGTCCAATTGGCTGGGAAATGACGATCGATGATATTTCCCATATAAATTTACATATAAAATGACAGCGATCTTCATTTCATAGTCATGGCTGACGCTATTTTTTTCTATCATACGGTACGTTGTTATACAGATTTTCTCAAGGAATATAATACTACATTCGATACTACGACATATACCACGTATAATACTTACGCGGATAAGTAAATCACTATGGAAACTGTCGCAAACATATTGTTACGGATTCCGTGGGTCCACTATTTAAACTCACGATAAAATACTTAACGAATTTATTTGTCTCACTCTGTACACACAACTTATACTATTTACAACACAATTTATGCAACTACTATTACTCTAACGGCATTTCACAATTTAAAGCGCGGTATATTCAAACTTCGACTTCAGACTATCTTCAGACTGGTCCAATTGTCAAAGCGCGGGCCTTATATACCCCCTGGCGATGGTTTCTGGAATTTTCTAAAGAATTCTGTAATTTTCTTTTACTTTCTGGCGAATTCGCCAGGTTATGCAACTAGTAATACACCTTGACCTTAACATTTTCTTTTACTTTCTGGCGAATTCGCCAGTTATGCAACCAGTAATACACCTTGACCTTAATATCAACGACTTCCATTTATCTGCATTTTTTGTTGCACACGCGGTGCTTCTACTCTGTCTATCCTTGTCGAGGACCTATCTTCCACGCGCCAAATTAGGAACATTAATTTTAAAAATTTAATTTGTAAAATGCATATATTTGAACAATAAATTGAATGTTTACTATCACAAAAATTAAATTATATAAAAAATACATTCAGCCACTCCGTACGAATATCAATATTCTTAGGAAATATAACCAGAAAGTATGCATGTGGTATAACATAAATAAAAGAACAACTGAATACTTTACTTGCCTATGAAGAGATAGTTTGGGGACCTTTATATTAGAACTTCCAACACCAAACACTTTCCAGTCATTTTTACGAATATTTAGAAAGTCCAACGAAAAAAAATAGAAATATAATTGCACAAACTTAAAATTGACTTCTCACTGAACACATTTGCATCCTTGGCTATATAAAAGCGGTCGGTAAAAGAGTAATTAATACAATTTTTAAAATAAAAATCGCAAAAAACAAGCGTCGTTACACAATGGAAATAAGATTATGACAATGAAAAAGTTGGTTTTGGTAACAATGTATAATTTGTAAATATGCGCAAATTAAGGTTCTCGGAAAAGACAAACCTATTGAACGTTTGATAAGTGCAATAAAGAAGGTTTGAAAATGGCATGTCGTGATCTTGGAGACATATTTTTTAATGCTAAACTTTTGGCGTTGATTTATCCACGTAAGTATATAAATATGATCCAGGAGTCAAATTTTACAAAATAAAAACACTAAATTACCACAATACACCAAAACACTTTTACTTTTACACTGGACGCGCGTTTCGCTAACCATGTTAGCATTATCAGCAGATGATTATATACTATATAGTTTGGTTTGGTTGCGAGAAAGTTGCGTTAGTGTTTTTATTTTGCTGTGTAACACCAAAGGTTCCAACCCTCAACTGTAGTAGTCAAATTTTGGTCGAACTTTTTAACTCTAACTTCCGATACTCGTTGATTTTATCTAAATCCTGATGTATTCTCCTGATGATGGAACATTGTAGAGGATTTTATAGGCATCGAAACGCCCTATGATTATTCCTTTTCTTTTGTGAGGGTGTCACAGCACGTGGCCGTATACATGGGGGACAAAACAACCCCTTTAATTTTATGAGTTTCTTTTATAGGGATTTACTGTTTCATTTTAGTAGGTGTTTTTTGTCATCTTTGTTCAATAAGCTAGCTTGTATGAGTATTTTTTCCGTAATAATGTGGAAAATAAATAAATAAAAGTGGAAAATAATAATACAAAGAAAAAAAAATTAATTGTTTGAAAAGAAAATACTAACGTTTTGAAACATCAAATAGCAAAAATGTTTAATGAAATATGATCTCCTTAGGATGTGGTAATCGTTATTTTGGGGCATTTTTTTTTAAATTGAATTCGCTCTAAACTAACTGGCTATCGAGCCAGCCGGTTTCGATTTGGCTTTTGATGCGTGGCAGATGATGAATTACGTTGAAAATAGAAAGTGAAGGATCTAGGACGCTCGCTCTCGTAGCCCCATGCATTTTTGCTAGTTAATTAGTTATTAGGAATGGTCATTGACACATAGATTTATAACTATTCAGATTTTACGTTAATGTTTTAGAAAATGCCTTTGAATTTTGAATAAAAATATTGTGGAAAGAGTATAATGCTGTAGAGGAAAGTAACCAAATATGGAATACCATTTTGTTTTTGTGTTATATGTATAAAAAAGTATTGTAAATCAAAAAATTTTATTCCTAGTTATTAGCAGTCATATAAACTACTCAAAACAATTATCGCATATTTAAAAAAAATATTAATTTAAAAAACAAGACACTTTGAATACCCTAACTTATGATTTCAAGTAGTTTGTATATTGTGAAGGGAAA